GGGAGCCAGACAGAAAGGCTGAGAAACCCTTGGAGCTAGTAAATACTGATTTAACTGGTCCCATGTCAACACTGAGCAGAGAAGGCCACAGATATGCACAGTCATTTACAGATGACTATTCAGGCACTGTGATGGTATATTTTCTGAAGTCAAAAAGTGATACAGTGCAAGCCACAGAAAGGTTCTTGGCAGACATAGCACCTTATGGAGAAGTCAAGTGTATTCGTTCAGACAACGGCACTGAGTTTACAAGCCGAGACTTTCAGGCACTCTTAACTAAAAATAGGATTAGACATGAAACGTCTGCACCCTATTCACCACACCAAAATGGTACAGCAGAGAGAAGCTGGCGAACTCTCTATGATATGTGCAGATGCTTATTGATAGAGAGTGGGTTACCAGACAAGCTATGGAACTACGCTATGCAGACTGAAGCTTTTGTAAGAAACAGGTGCTACAGTAGGCGCACAAAGAAAACGCCATACGAGTTGTTCACAGGCAAAGAACCAAATGTATCCAAACTGCAAACATGTTTAGCTTACAAACAAGAAAAAGGGAAGCTAGACTCTAGATGTGAGCAAGCCCAGCTTATCTGGTGTATTACCCAGAAACAGAGAGGGTGCAAAAGCACAGGTCGGTGAAATTCACAACCAAAAGCGCAAAAGAAAAGGAAACACAAACATCTGAATCACATATAGAATGTGGTCATGAGGATGCACACTCCAGGGCCATAGGCAATGATATAAATGTGGAAAATGTATCAAGTCATGGTATTCAGATGTGTGTACCTGAGACTTTACTTGAAGAGACTGAATGTACACAGCCGAGTAAAGCCACAGAGACTGTAACCAAAAGGTATCCACAGAGAAACAAAAAGAGACCAACTCATCTACAGGATTTTGAGACTGAGGATGCAGAGGACAAAGCACAAACATGCATGGACTTTTGCTACAGAGCAGTCTGTGATATCCCTCAAACCTACAATGATGCCATAGTGTCAGCAAAGTCAAGGCAGTGGAAGAATGCCATGGACGAGGAGATGCGATCTCTGGAGGAGAACGAGACCTTCTACCTCACCCAGTTGCCACCAGGTAAAAAGGCAGTGGGGGGTAGATGGGTCTATGCACTCAAAAGTGACATTGATGGATCAGATAAATACAAGGCAAGATTTGTAGCAAAAGGCTACAGTCAAAAACCAGGAACAGACTACAAAGAGACATTTTCACCCACAGCTGTGACAAGTGTAAGAGTACTCTTGCAGAAAGCAGCACAAGAGGGACTCATTTTACACCAGATGGACGTTAAGACAGCCTATTTGCATGCACCCATTGATTGTGAAATCTGGAGCAACCAGAAGGCTATGAAGAAAAGTCAATAACCAGGGAAAACCTAGTTTGTAAGTTGCAAAGGTCTCTCTATGGCCTCAAGCAATCAGGTAGAAACTGGAATGATATTACATACATGTCTGAGTGAGAACGGTTTCATACAGAATCCAGCTGATCATTGTGTGTATACAACAGAGAAACATGATGAAAAGGTCATCATGATTGTATGGGTTGACGATCTGATCATAGCAGCAAGCAACACAAATGTACTGGAAGGTGTAAAGATTATGCTTTCTGACAGGTTTAAAATGAAGGACCTGGGAAAGTTGAAACATTTCCTGGGAATTGATTTTCACCAAACAGAAGGTGAAGTTAAAATGTCTCAAAAGAAATATATAGGGAAAATCCTAGAGAGGTTCAAAATGCAGGATTGCAAGGCCAGGGGGACCCCATGTGAGCCAAAACTTGAACAAACAGATGATTCTGAAAAATTGACAGACCCAACAAAATACAGAGAGGCAGTGGGAAGTTTAATTTACTTTTCCACATGCACTAGACCAGATATAGGTTTTGTGGTCAGTAAACTATCTCAGCACTTGGCTGAACCAACAGAGGAACATTGGAACACAGTAAAACATGTGTTCAGGTATCTAAAAGGCACAACAGAACAGGAGTTATGCTTTAAGAGAAATGACAGAGAGGCACTAGGTCTAAAAGTGTACTGTGATGCTGACTGGGCATCAGATGCAACAGACAGGCGTAGCCCATCAGGATATTGTGTCAGTCTAAGTAAAGGAAGCTCTCTGATCTCATGGAAAACAAAGAAACAACCAACAGTGGCATTATCCACCTGTGAGGCAGAATACATGTCTTTAGCATCAGCTATACAAGAATGTATCTATTTAGATCAGCTACTCAAAGGTATAGACACATATAACGACGCATGATAAGCGCGGAGCGCTCTATGTCTCATGTTGATTACGCAGCACAGCCATGCTGATTCATGTCCCTGAATAAATGGATGAGAGAAGAAAGATGACTGTGCATACTTTATTGATTTAACAATATCACATCATAATGTATCATATATTTCCTTATCTGAGTCAGCTTCTTGAGCCGTATCTGGCCGTGCAACACTTACAGTGTCACATATGCAGAAGTATTATTTTAAGCAACACATTAAGTTGACGAAACACTCGAGTCAAATGTAATTAAAGTCAGATCCACTCGTGTCTTAGACGGGGCAGTGATATCATAAACCTGTTAATGTACGCATTCAAACAGTTTTTTTTTACCAGCTGTATTCACCTTGCAGGTGCAACTATGTGGCTTTTATCCTGGATAAAGTGTTTAAGTCATGGATGTTTAAAGTTTAACGTCTTCATATTTGTCTAATATTATAGTTTACTTTTCATTCAGGAAGAATGACGCTGCGCTGTCAGTACGCTTGTCCATGTTTGTGATTGGTCAAATGTTGCTAACCCCGCCCCTTTCATGTGAACGCGCACTCAGCGGGACTGTGGCCCTTTCTCATTTCTCTAATTCCCCTCCTCGACTCCCCTCCTCGACTCCTATCCTCGTGTCTTAGTCCCGCCCACAGGAGATGCGAGCGGAGGAGTCGAGGAGGGGAATCGAGGAGAGGAGGGGAGGAAGCAGCAGGCGGTTAGAGAAATGAGAAATCCTCTCCTCTGAGCAGTCTTTTTAAAGAGACGTCCGGAGGCACAGCAGCACTCTGTCTGATGGACAGATGTGTTCATGATGACTTATATATTTACTTTTAATTCATTCACAGTGCGGTATAATGAGACAATAACAGGCTACAGATGCGGACATATATACACACACACATATATATTATTTATATAAATATATACAATTTCAGATTCAAACAAGTATGAGAGCACTCTCATAATAACGTAACACTATCACGTATACACACACTGTACCACACGCACCTACACACTGTACAACACGCACCTCCAGCTCCTAAAGCATATAATATATATCAGGATACAGCTGTATTTTATTATGTGAAGCACTAAATGGTTTTAGAAAAATATCGACTCTTTGTTTGTAGGTAGGCTATCTACTAAACTAAAGCATACAAATAAAGAGAGTAATGTAGGCCTGTTATACTGAGTGATATATATTATACACACTGCTCTGCTTTCGGACCTCACAGCTGTTCTCCCTGTAAACATCGCGTCTGATTCAAGCAGTTAATAAAATAATATCCAGGGGATGCATGCAGAGCTGTCATTGGCTGAGATAAGTCCGGCCGTGGGTCACGACTCTTTTAAACATTACTGTTGCCGGAAATACATCCGCGGACTGGCGCGGAGGACCCATTAGTGTATCCTCGATTATAGCTCCTCCAGAGAGCCTCCTCGATGGTCGATGCTCGATCCTCGGTCCTCGAAGTGCATTTAGAGAAATTAGATGTCCTTCCACATGGCGCACTGAAATCCATTTCCGGGTCACTACCGGAGGACCGAGGAGTCGAGGAGGGGAAATTAGAGAAATTAGAAAGGGCCAGAGAAACCCTGGCTTGAGTTAACGAGTTGATAACCAGCGTCGTAGGACAGTTTAGCGAGAGCGCGTTTGTTTTGGATTAGGTCAACCGGGTAACTCAAACATATCCAGGTTATGTTGAACCGGCTTCGTAGTACAGGCATCAGGTCACTGATGATTAACACTTTGGCTTGTTCTGGGGATCCGTTAAAGGTGGGGTAGGTAAGTTTGAGAAACCGGCTCGAGATCGCTAAAATTTGAAAATACACAACCGGAAAAAATCTGCCACTTCCTTACAGAGCCCCTCCTCCAACACACACAAACGCGCACATGACCAATGAGGGCACGAGATAAGCTTGTGCACAGATGGAAGGCTGACAGGCAGGTAGGCCATCCAGTTATTTTAGCCGGGCCGGCTAAAATGATTGGTCGTGCTTTTTACAGTACTACGGCTTCCACAGATAAACATTTTTTATGGATTTTTGGTCAAAGCACTTAAGATATTCATTGCTATCGGGATGTTAAAGGTGGGGTAGGTAAGTTTGAGAAACCGGCTCGAGATACACTTTTTGTTATATTCCATGGAATGCTCTTAACATCCCGATAGCAATGAATATCTTAAGTGCTTTGACAAAAAAATCCATAAAAAAATGTAATCTGTGGAAGCCGTAGGACTGTAAAAAGCACGACCAATCATTTTAGCCGGCCCGGCTAAAATAACTGGATGGCCTACCTGCCTGTCAGCCTTCCATCTGTGCACAAACTTATCTCGTGCCCTCATTGGTCATGTGCGCGTTCGTGTGTGTTAGAGGAGGGGCTCTGTAAGGAAGTGGGAGATTTTTTTCCGGCTGTGTATTTTCAAATTCTAGCATGGAATATAACAAAAAATGTATCTCGAGCCGGTTTCTCAAACTTACCTACCCCACCTTTAAGCTTGATGAAGATTTTGCAGTTTGCAGTCCATGTTGATTGTATTTTTCGTAGTTTTCTCAGGAATCGGGCCTTTCTGGCGATCTCAGCATTTATTTTAGTGAGGTGTTCATTCATATACATCCAAGCCCTTAAGCCGTCTTCCCTGTTTCAGAAGTTCAGTTTTATGTTGGCAAACATTATCTTAATTTGTTTAACAGAATTGTATTTATTCAAATAACTTAAAATGACAGGTAGTTTCAGAGGGAATGTTTTAATGGTAGATCATTTCCACATGACAATGACAATTAAAAATGTTCGCATGTCAACCTTTTCCACAGTTTTCCCTTAAGGTAAAATGGATTTAAACAGATTATTTTTTTCACACCCTCCTACCATTCATGTAACACTTTTCCATGTAAGAAAATACAGCATTTTAAAACATATTTGGCAATACAGAAGCAAACCCATTAAGTTTTCCTCCACAAATAAATTCAATGAACATTTTATGCTGACACATGGATTCCGAGCCCTCCAACCCCCTCAACTTTTTTTTACTAAAGTAACCCAGAATGTTAACAGTCTAAACAGCTAAAGGGCATTATTAATGATGAAATACATTACAATCATGTAGTTTAAATAGACATGTCCTAGCTAGACAAAATAAAGATGAGAATTACAGAGTGGAGTTAAGGAAGGAAAAAGGGGAATGACCATTGATTTGACGGGGCATTTTGTCTGCCAAATTTGGAATCGTTTTTTGCACTTTAAATCACATCTTTGGAAATTACCAATTGATCAGATTAAATCTTAAGGAAGGCAAGCATACGTGCTTTTTACAGTTACCATTCTTCATTTTACAAGGCTATTACTGTTGCTCGTCTTTGGCTCAAGGCCTAGTGATCAAACGGAAGGCACTTTTGTTGGCATTGGTGATGCAACTAACATGGCAGTTATACCTCAGGGCCCTAATATTCATGAAATGCACTAATCGATCATTTTGACCTTTTTCTTTTTGACCTTAAAATCATCACACAACATGTGTTACCAGCCAAAGATTTCAAACTTTTGACTCATCATCCAAATTCCTGACCCATTTCTTTAAAGTAACTGCACACAACTAGTGTAATAGGCTTGCGTATGACAAGAATCATGAAGCTAATGGTCGGCCGCCTCCTGTTCTACGGTCGACACTCACATAGTTGTAGCCACAGAAACAAGCATGTAATGTCAGTTTGACTTGTGCAAGAGGATCCTTACAAGACTTGTCGTTCTACATGAATGCACAGGCTTTCCCAGACTAAAGACCAAAATCTTATTCTGAGTTGACATGAAACAGAACCCGATGTTAGCCCGACCAGACAATACTGTAGTAGGGAGATCTTAAAGATGACTTAAGTCACGGGCCAACATTTAAAATCATTTTATGGAGGACTACACTTTTTTCTTTTAAAGAGGACTTTAGTGCTTGCATGTTTTTGCCAGTTTAATACCAATCATGTCACGTAGCGCAAGTGCCTACCATTTTTCAAAGCAAACCATTAGAGTTTCTTTCTGGCAGCCATTCCTATATTTTAGAAGACATTTGAGGATGTCATATTGGGCCATACCAAACCAAAATCTCCGGATAAAACAGTTGGTGGTCGAGTTGTATTGTGGGTGGTTTGGGCAAAGGAAAAAGAATACATGGAATAAAACAAATTGCATCGATTTTAAATAAATGTTATTGGAATGTATGCTAAATTGGTGGGAGTATTCCTTTATGTTACTAAGCTAGTAGGCTGCCAAACTGCATCAAATGTATCAGTTATAATGAAACAGACAAACATGGACATAGTGAGCAGTATACATCATCTTCACTGTGAAGGATTAAGTGCCTGAAGCATCCATTAAAATAGGAAACCTTTATCTGCAGCCTGAAGAAATATGATACTATGCTTTGGAAGATGGCCTAAAATAACATTACACAACTTATTTATGATAAGTAGTAATCACGTTCCAACATGCATGAACAGACAACAATTTAACTTTGCCAATACCCTGGCGGGGGAGGGAAGTATCACCTCCGTTTCCACAAGCTATGACCTCATGGTATTACAGGAAGCACGTCACTGACACTACCTTCCTGTAAGTTGCTATCATCAATACTTAAGCGACCCAAAAATAAAGTGTCGGGGACAGTTCTGTTAAAGGGAAGGGTGTATGGAAAGTAGCAGTGATGGAAAGAGTGAACAAGCTGGTTTAACACCACAGATGAATCACATAATCACAATTATTACAACTGCTCTGGATCTATCGACAGCGCGTGTGTAAGATTGTCAGATGGCCAACATTTGCTTAAAGCCCAGAGATAGTGTACCATGCGTCTGGAGACTTTTGATCAGTGGGTTTTAGATGATACAGAGACAATTGTCCTATTCTGTCACTTAACTGAACTGACGAAACTGTGGATTTCTTTCTTTCAGAGCCACTGCCAGCTGTGGCTGCTCTTTTCCCCATTCTGTGACCCGTCTTTGTAGAAGCCTTGTTATGTTAGATCAACCACTTCTGTGTCTTTTGAAAACTCTGGATTCCTACAAGAGCAGAGAAATCCCACAAACTCAACATATGGCTTAACATACTGTGTTGAATTCTTTCAGAATCGTACTCCTTTTCACGCTTCTGCTGCTTCAACATAAATCGTGACAACGTTTTTGTTCCCATCCTGCAAATGAACTGTAACTCAGCTTTGCAAAATCACCGTTACTGTTCAATTTGACATCAAATGTATACAGGCTGGACAGTGAACAAAAAGCCAGATGAGCCTTTTTAAAACAGCAAAGATAAGAGACGCCTCCGCCACCAGGCCGCTCTACACTTCAGGAGACAATCACAGTGTAGCAGCCTTCGCTACCTCGTGAGACTCTAATAGGGAGGGAGAAACACTTCACTGGTATCTTCATTTACAAAACTGATCATAAAAATAAAGCCTTGGACCTGTGACAGTAAAACAACGAGCAGAACGTGTGTTAACATGACATTAACCCGCCCCACCCACACCGAAAAAGAAAACGGTAATTCACCTTAACACTCTTAGGCACATAAGTCTTTATGGATCCCACTTCTGTGGGTGTCAGGAATGCTTATCAAACATTAACCAACAAAAAAAAGGGGGTGAGGGTGCCTTTTTGCAAACTTGGTGAAAAGAACCCATAGTTCAGTTTCGTGTGTTTGTGGCTTCAGATGACATAATGACCACGTACAACAAAGAAATCCACATAACTCTGAACTGCATGCCTGACCAGGAGAACACATCCACCTTGCTGTGACCTTTATCGCTTTTTTGTTCCAGATTTACTCATGTTTTCCCCTGTTTTGTTGGTAGGTTTTCCATTAAAAAAAAAAAAGTTTGTGTCAACACTAAATCACAATCTAGCCTGGAACATTGCTCAGCAGCTATTTACAGAATTGCAACAAAAAAAAACTATCTGACTGGTCTAACACACAATATCTCACATTGTCCCGTGTTTTATTTTTAGTGGTCCTCTTCATAAAAGAAACATACCACAAAGTGTAAACATGAAAAGAAACTAGTCTGTATAAATGTTAATCGTTTTTTTACCCCCACCACCATGCCATTGAACCTTATCTGCAAACTGTACGATGACCTAATGAATGTTTTTCTAATTTTGGGACCCTTTACTCGGTTCCGAGTTTTAGTGCAGATCCACTGTGCAGTAACAGGACCTTTCTAACCGTTTCAAGTAAACCCCTTTAATGTCACTTTTTCCTCCATCCTGTGGTCCTTTTTGTTCAAAAGAGAGCCGTCCTCCATCGATCTGTTTTCTGGCCTCCTGCTTCTGCTTGCTCGGGTTGACATTATCTCTCACACTCATTATCTCTCACACTCGCACACACACACACACACACACACACACACACACACTTGCACACACACAGCCAGCCCCTTTAATATGTTAAACAATGAAGAAGAAAAAAAAAAAAACACCTTTCACTTCGAAATCCTTCCGTGTTTGCAACATTGAGATGTTAGGCCCAACATTTAAGTTAAATTTCTTCATTTTTTTTTTTAACACACAGCAGAATAAACATCGTTTGGAAGCAAGGTCTCCTGGTGGCAAGTCAAATGTTCAGAGGTCACGTTTCTTTTTTTACTTTTTCTTTGTTTGTTTGTCGTACTTGTCTTGCCGTTCTCCACAGCTTTAGTCCTCCTTGGCCTGCAGCTGCTGCTTCCAGGCTTCGTTCAAGTAAACCAGTCGCTTGTAGTTGAGAGTAAAGAGAATGAAGTTCAGCGCATATGTAGTGATGCAGATGATGCAGAAGTCCTTCAGGACAAAGTAGAGGATGTAGCCCAGGTAGAGCGAACCCACTACCGACAAGATGGATGTCGTCATGAGAATAAGGGCGGCCATTGCACTCACAGTCATTCCTATGGCAAGAAACACAAACTAAAGCTTAGACAAAATAACTGAAACAAAAGGGAAAAAAGACATAACCTTAGAACACACAAGTAACCTGATGACTCTGAGCTTACAGCCTCGGACAGTTTTCTATTTCTGTACCCAGCCACCTCGTGATGACATTCAGCTTAAACACAGGTCATATTATTCTGTTGTCACATGAGGCCAAGCTTGTGATGTTTCATTAGTAACAATTTGGCTGGTCCATACCTAAGCTGACATAGTAGGTTCCTGGTTGGGATGGAACGATATAGGAGTTTTTCCTTCATTGCGTTAAAAAAACACTTAAAATAAGTTAATAATGGTGAATTTTTATAAACGGGATAACCATCAATACCCAAACAGAGTGACTTAAAAAAGATTTTTAGCTCAGATGAGCTAAATACAGGAACTGGCACAATGTTGCTACTTAATAACTACATTACTTAAGATTTGATGTTCACTAAATATAAAATAATAATAGAAATCATTTTATTTTTATGTACAAAAGGTAACAAAGAGATTCCAGATTTTTTTTTTTGCAATTTCAAAAGTTTTAAGCAGATGATAATTAGGATAATATCATAAATTGAAACTTTAAAAAAAAAAAAAATGTATTGGAATTATTTTGTCTGGATATTTTTAACAGGAAATAATAATATCAACTGTAGTTCCTGTGTTTTCTTACTGGCAGAATATCTAGTTCGTCTGTAGTTGGAGTGTCTGAACATGCGTGAGTCACACAGGTCGACAGCTTTAAAGGGTGAGGTGTGTAATGACTCATTGTGAAATCACTGAGGCGTTACTAAATTAGAGGCATTATTAGTGCTTTACACATTGTTTACTGATTATTAGTGATAGAATCTGATGAAATGAGATCCAGTGGTGTTAAGTTACTAAGAACATTTACTCAATTACTGTACTTAAGTATAATGTTGAGGTACTTGAAAGATTATGGCTTAATTGAGTATTCAGTTATATGATGCATTATAACTTCACTACAGTCTAGAGTAAATTCTGTATATTCTGCTTCACTACAGTTACTTTGCAGATTAAAATAATCAAAACAATTATAATTTACAAAAATAAATGATGGTGAATTATCTCATAGTAAATTAGCCAGCAGTGTGTATATATATATATATATGTGTAAATGCTGTAACAATAAATATAATCCATACATTTATGCATCAATAACTATAATCCAATATATATGATTATAAAACGTTCTACACGGGGGAATTGCTACTTTAACTTAAGTTAAATATCTGAGTACCCTTTCCACTACAGCGGGTCATACAAGTGCTAACATCCATCACAAGCAGACATTTATAAAGCAGTTGTAGTGCAGAGTACTTTGAGCATGGAAAATAAGCACTTTCTGAGTTTATCTCTATCTTCTCTTCTTCTAGGGCTGGACAATATAATATATAATAAAGACACATTTTGGGGGGGGGGGGGGGGGGGGGGGGGGGGGGAACTAGCTAATTAAGTACCAGAGAAAATAGACAATACATATTTTTTTTATATAAATGTTCAGTTGATTGATTTACCAGAAATTGTTTCATCATGTGATACGAAAAAACAAATAGCGTGAGAGGGGATTTTGTCCATATTGCCAACCCCTCTTCTCTACATAACATTTATTTACAGTGAAAGGAAAATGTATTGGAAAAGCCACAGCTATTGCATTATTCTATGTCTTTATACATTGAGTGTACAGTAAGTGTTAATGTTGTCCCATGCTGTACAATGGCATTAATCAAAGGTTAAACCTTGAATATGCAGATTCTGGAGTTGTTTCTACTGACAAATATTGGGTGTTCCATGGCTGTGAGAATAATAAGACTTCTGATCTTGACTTTAATATGGAAATCTTGACCCTGTGTAACAGTTTGGCTTAACTGGGCAGCCATTGTGTGAGTGCTAACTGCTGCGGCTAAAAGGCCCTCTTGTTCTGAGCCGGCGCCAGGTGGCCAGGCGGATCTGCAGGCCACCATTCAGAAGAAAACTACATGCTGATATGGATGATGTGATCGCTTATGAGCATCAGAAACTCCAACGCAATGGACAGATAAAGGATATCACCATGTGCCCCACTGATCAAACATTGAGAAACAAAGTCATGTAGCTCCTCAAGTTTTTTTTCTAGTATGCTTCCGACTTAAATCTTACTCAAATGTATGTGTTATTAATCTCTTTTTTTGTTCCTTAAATTTGTGCTTTTGTGTGATATTACTTTTTTAATATCAGAGAATATTCAGGTTTTTCCTCGAAATGTACCACTTTAAAATCATAGATTTGATTATTTTCAAGAGTTTTCTTTTTGGATAAACCCCCCTCTCCCCCTCTTTACTTTTAAACTAATAATGGCCCTAATCCACCATTGCAGTTATCTCTGCAGTCTTAGTCTTTAACTACATATTTGTATTCATACATGGCTACTAAAAATGATGTCAGTGCCATGCGAGACATTTTTGGCAAATGCAGCGATAAAAGAGGGAAGCAAATGGTTGAGTCACCTACATTTTCAATACCAAAAAAGGGCTCTAAATAAAATGACATCTTACCTAGTAGAAGCTGAAAGCCATAAAAAGCGATCCCGTAGACACTGTTGGGCTGGTTCAGTGCACTGTCATTTCCAAAGATTGAACCGAGGAGTCCAAATCCTCGACCCCACCTGAACCAGAAGAACATCAGCAGAGAAGGCAGTTACAACTTTTCTCGGGATGACAAAAAGCAACCAACTAAGGAGACGGAATCACACCCGAGAACAATCAAACCCCAAATATGTACTGTACCGTATATGTAAATAAATTAAATTAAATTAAATTAAAAGAAAATGTATATTGGCTGGGTGAAGTTTGCTTTTTTAGAAACATTTAGTTCTTAGGTAAGGCAAATACAAATGTACATAAAAGTGTTCAGGGAAAATCAGCTGTAAAAAACATTTATTTTCATGATCGATTAATCTGCTCTGTTCTTTTTGGATCCATATTTATTTATAAATATTACAGTTATCAATCAATTAATTAATCAACACTGGTATTTCACCATCCCTATGTTGGTGTAGATACTGTCATAAAAAGGTTAAATAAATGTCCAACCTAGTTTATTTGAGCCCAGTGATGTCTTTACAAGTCTTATTATGTCAGTCCAAATTTTAAATCAGATATAAGAAAATAAAAACAGGAAACTTCATATTTGTGAGTTTTAAAACACAGTCAATAATATGTCAACGTATCATTTCAGCTCTACTACAAAACAGTAAAAAAAATAGTCTGAAGCAGTTTCCCAGAGTCACTCATTTGTACATTATGTACCCAAACTCAAAGACCTCAGTGCCTTTTTTTGGTTCAGTAGTAGTTGGTCTATTACAGTGTATTTTAACTTATCCTGTGTATTTTATAATGTGTTTTCTATAGATACTTCATAGATATTCAAATATCTATTTATGGTTTATGTTTGTTATTTTTTATGTGCAATGTATTGTAAATATGTGGCTGCAACAAAACCATTTCCCAATGTGGGATCAATAAAGTACTTCAAATCTAATCTGGACCTGCCACAGTTGAAGGTGAGGAAAAAACCTAAATTCAAACGCTGCTTGATTACCAAAATCAAGGCTTGGTTGTTTCACCAGAGGATGTGGTGCACGTGATGGCTGTCAGTCCATAGAGGCAGCCACTTTAATGAGTTTCTCTGATTTCAACAACTCTATTAGTAATGTTTTAAAAGGGTGACATTCAAATACTACCATCAGATCAGGTCTTAATTTTGTCCTGCATAACAACATTTATATTTGCAACATCAACAAAGAGAAGATGGATTTCATCCAAAGAAAATACAACATTCTTATCCAAAGAGAAGATGGGTATGTGCAGTTGTAATGCATAGGAAACAGTCTTTCATCTGTGTAGTGCTACAAACTTTTTGAGAGTGCATATGATTTTGTGCAAAATTCTTAAAACTCCTCCTACTGCAGTCAGGCAAAGTATTAATTGAATCTTGCTTACTTAGCGTTTTCTGCCATATGACTTTAAGAAAGATACGTCAAATTAATCAATAAGTCAGTTCCAGCATAGAAGATCAGTAGATCATTTGTAAAAGCATGAACAAACAATGACCTATTTAAATACAACACACATGAATGTCTTTTCATTTTTGTCTTACTATTTAATGTTTTAGTGAACATTAGAATTCACTCGGAATGAAAGGTTTTTATTTCTCATTTTTAGGATGTGCTGCAGAAGCATGGAGATAAGAGACTGGATCAATAACTCAGACCTTTGTTTTATTCATTTGTATTCACCAGAACCACATGCCCATGTTATTGTGTTTGTTTTTAAAGAATTGGATGCATCTTTTGGTGTGCATTAGCAATTTCATTTGATGTATTACATTGTAGAAGTCTATTATCTTTGTATATAATGAATTACGGTTTGCTACAATGCAGATAGTCATGCATCCCATTATATTCACTACAGAATTGACAATACACAAATTGAAGGATCTGGCATTTCGGGTTTTATTTGCAAAGAAATGTTATTATTTCAAGCTAATTCTTAAATTTGTTATTTTTTTTGTAAATGTAATATTTAAATCTAAGATGTTATACAATATGTTTCTCTTAAATGTATCACTATAGGCATTGTTTTGTTTCTTTTCTGGAGAGTTTCTTTTTTGTGGACTATTTTAGTTTTTTAATAAAATGGGATGAATCCCTTAGCATCACTGTGCAAACATTGAAGGACCTGGCAGGATTGAAGGATAGAACCTTCCCTATCTGATTACATCTGACCAATACAATGTATTGATTAATTTATTGATTGATTCTGGTCAGCGTTTCAAAGCTTTGTCTTTAAGAGGCATGCACAAAACAGGCCATTCTACATACATAACAAATACACATTATCTCCATTAGACTGCTGGATATTAAGCTTTATTCGCCTTTAGAACTAAGATTATTCAAGGAAGATTTTTTTTCTTCATTCAGTCATTTCTTCTATATTTGTTAACATTCAGTCAGAGCTGATGGTTGACATCTTATTTTAGGTGACAAAAACTATAGCATCTCTAGTACTCAGACAGTGAATTGAGTCACTTATCCTACACGTATGTAATGGGTCCTAAACAGGTTACATTCCAGCCAGTCTTTGAGTTCAAGGCCTGCAAAGACTTTCAAAATTGTTTAAATAGGTGGGGTTCTCTTGAGTCATTTCCAGTTGCCCACAATCAAGCTAGTATGGTAACTTCAGATAATTGTTTGAATGAAACAACTGTGATCTTAACTTTAAAGGGAGGTTATTCTACATGCTTGCAAGCTCATCTTTGTGACTAACGAATCTGATTTATTTTCAACGCACACATAGCTTAAATAGAACTCCTGCAGCCGCTTTACTAATGTAGCTATGAACATTTAGCTATCTGTAAAACGGTGTGGTGGTTAGCAGCACTGGAACTTTAAGGTATCCACCTTTGCAGTCCTCCACACTGACCTCTGGAGCATTTATATGCACTGTCCCTTTAGTTAGCCGGTGTATAGTGTTTAACCCCTCGGACTGAATGATAGCTGCCCGGTGACATTAGCATGGCAGCTAATGACAGCAGCGTGACAGCTAACGCGAGAGCTAGCTAGTATGTCTAAAAGTTGCCCCATATGAACAACGTTAAGCTAGCTAACCAGCAAACATCATAGCAGAGTTCTGCGGAATGAATGGACTCATTCAGCAGCAACATCCATGCACCAATAACGTTAGTCTGAGCAAGCTGTGGTCAACTTTTGTGCTAAAGTTGCGTTTACAGATGTGCTACCCATTCATACACAGACAGCATCCAGTAGGACCGGTTCAAATAAGCCATCAGCAACTTGCCCATTGATTCAGTTTTACAATGCTGACGACTCACTGTTGATAGCTAACTGGCTAAAGTGTAACGTTAACAAATGTGTTGCGTTAGCTGACGGTTAGCAAAGTTAGCTTCACTGAGCTAGAAAGCTAATGATATGCTTATTGAATGATAAGCACAAAGTTAACTTATTTCAGAAAGGTTATTTAACTAACAGCCAGCCCGCAGAACACCGGCACTAATAGTTTTCAGTTAGCATTAGCGACACGTTAGCGGGCAGCCGGCAGATGCTAGCTGGGAGCCTCTGACAGTTTGAACCGCCAGCCCTTCCCAGGCTGCCACAATAGCAGCAGCTTCATTGAGCGCTCTTTGCTGAATTCAAATTACCTTGAGCTGAACACTTTCGAACAGCTGATGGAGATGCTGACGTCGCACATCGCCTTATAACTCGGATCCCGAGCCTTTTCTGTCTCGACGTGAAAGGCATATATAGAGAGCAGTATGCCCAATAGGCAAACGAGAAGCCTAGCTATTCTTTCCCACCGAGGGGTGGACACTCTCAGGACGGGCGCCGCCATCACTCTCTGGCCTAGCTGGAGACACGCATACATACGCAGGGAGTTCGCCCGAGACAGGACTGCGACGTGGAAATGCGTAAGGACGTGCCACACCGTGAGGGGCGGGCCGTGCGCTGGAACAAAACAGAACATAAACACTGAGCAAGGCTTTCTATGCGGAGACATTAGAGTCATCTTATATGCAAGCACAAAGTAGGCTCATACACATATAGACTGTATACAATGGGAAAATACGCACATTTATTGATCGATTACAAATAAAAGACATTTATAAACCAAAAACGCTCAGTGTAAGTCCTTTATTTTGTAACAGTAACAGTTATTTCATTTCATTTCAAACCTTTATTTATCCAGGTGTATCCCATTGAGATCATTGATCTCTTTTTCAAGGGAGACCTGCTCAAGTAGGTTCCACATGAAACATAAAAACATAAACAGAACAACAAAAAGGATCATACAGCATCATTACAGGGATTACAATTTACATAACTATCCACATGAACAGGTACCAACAGCTTCCGATTGAGTAGCATCCAATCGAGCTTTAAAAACATTTAGTGGCACCAGATTGCTCAGTTTCCATTTCAATTGCAGACTATTATGTGTGATTTTTATTAAGGTGTGTGCAATAACTTTTAGAAATGGATACTTGCGACAACATTCGAGTAAGAGTAGACTCACTATGTGCAATGTAAGTTATTACCAATTATTTTTACCATAACCCAAACAAATGTCAGTTAATAAAGTGCTAAAAGTATTGCACGTTAGATACATTCTTATAACAGCAATAGGATGTTATTTGGTTTGCCAAACATGCACACAGCACCCTTGTTGAAATACTCACGACACAGAAAAAAACACACATAGGCCTACTACTTAACAAAATAAACAATACTATATGTTACAGTAATATGTGAGGAAATACATGCATACTAGTGAAATAACAACGAACAAACTAACAATACATATCAATATTTCCCGACAAAAACAGTACACTGTGTTTATTACAGCACAGTACATGTAGTTCCTTGGTCACAGCCACGATCACGTGACCCTCTGTATATAAACACTGGCTGGCTACAGCTGTTTACTCGCTGTTGAACTCGTCTGGTAAAATCTGCTGCATCCCATCTCCAAATGGCTACAGACATGGAAAGATTTGTTTTTTTCGAGGAAACATTTTACGACCAGTATGACTATTACAATCTGCTCGAGTTCTCGTGCCATGCGTGTGGCAAAGGGAGAACCAAGAGAGAAATCGAGCTGAACACAAACCGCCATTGCCCCGCTGGACACGAGAGGAAGATTGCAGAAAAATTTCATAACACCGAGCTGAAACGCAAGAGAACCAAGAGCTCCTCTTCTTGATGGATTTCCTCGACGTTTACAGGTAACAATGTGCCTTTGTAGTCTGAAAAAGTGTTTATTCTTGATGAAAAACACTTATTTATTCAGCAATTTCCTTGTCATGAAAAAAATGACCTTATACTGTACCAAGATGTTTACATAACAAGATCCTGCAGATTACTGCCATGAATGTGAGCTGAACAACCTGCCTTTGTGTCAGGGCCGTTCTAATCTATGCTTCGGAATTCAAGTTTGCTTTGTTCCACCTATTAGGTCAATCGATAGGTAGAGCCAAAAACAGATAACAAAAATCCCTTTTTGTATGTTTGTATTCATCTATTAGGGTTTGTGCAAAGGCTATATAATTGCTATGGTGTTTTTGAAACCTTAAAATTGGAAAATGGGTCAATACAAATCAGGCCAGGATGGTAAAAATATTTCTAATTTCAGTCACTTTCTACACCACAAATAAACATTTGCTGTTTTTTTTCATGTGAGAATTTATTTCAAGTGAAAATGTAAACACGGGTTTTGGGTAACAGTATTGGACATTATTTATATGACATTTTATGGACCAAATTATAAATTGACAAAATAATCTTTAGATGAAAAGACAAATGTTGTTGCAGGATATTATTTGTGATGACCATTTCTTCCTGATCTCCACACAGATCCGGACACGAAGTTGGATTCCTGATGTTGACGATGGCCATGGTTCTCTCTGCCTTCCCTGTTCCTGACCCAGTGAATGGAGCGCTGTGACTTCGGGAACATGCCCAGTAATCAGTCACACGAGACAGCTCTCCATACTCTGTAGCAAGAACCTGCTTGTCTCTCGCCGGTGCAAAAATAGTTTGTGTTGAGCAATATAGGTCAGTGGTGTGTGCTTGATAAATATATAGAGATATGTGTAGTCATTTCTGTGGGTGCAGGAGATATGATACAGTATTTGGACTCAATAAAAATGGGTGATGATTCAACCAGCTTGGATTGTGTCTTTTCTTTTGCTCATAACTGAATCCAAATAGACATTATTTGTATTTTAATTAAAACTATTTTAGTCATGTTAAGTAACGTGGATTACACGCTTGCGTTGCGTCTGTGTTTTCTATAGTTTCTCTACAATCTGAATTTTTCATATATAATTTCTCCCTCCATGTCCAGTGTTTTTTTCAGGGGGAATGAGGCCCTGCTCTGTTTACATGTTGTTTCCCAGATGAGTGTCATGCACATCCAGATACCGAGTTCATTAGGTCAAGGGACAGGTCTTTCTTTTTTAAATACTTAAGCCTGCAGCCTAGAAAGAGATGTATTTTTGCATTCAAAATGTCATGATAGTTATTAATAATATGAAATATTTGGGGTGTCTCTCAGTTTAATTTGAGAAATGTATGAAAACAATCTTGGCCCTATCCAACAAGCCTTGGAAATAAATGTTTTACAAATGAAGATTAAGAATTGACAAATCAATTGTTAAATAGAATAAATTATGAATTAAAAGGGATGATGAGCATTAATAAATATCAGTGTTTGGGTTTAATCTATGTTGACTCTTGGCTGAAACCCCAGGCGAAGTCACATGCTTTTATTTTGAAGGAATATCTCCCAACCGGAACTTATTTCTTTAACTTCCTGGTCAACACACTTACGATCTGCTAGCATTTTTACACATTTCTTCATATTTTTTCACCAACTCGCCAGGATGCAGATATGCAGTGTGTGCAGCGAACATACGCCGAAATACAGATGTCCAGCCTGCAAAATAAGATAGTAAGTAACGTTAACTTTAAATAACCATCTGTTAGCTAGCTAGCCTTCAATTAGCTTGTTTGGCTAAAGTGAGAAGACAGTTATAGGGGAAACAATAGCCAATATTTTATATTGTTAAGGCACATCACTGAGTATGTAGGTCGGACCTAAATTAAAAAAGTGTATACAAATAGCAGCCGTATCCACCAAGTGCTAGTGTTGACATTTAAGCTAAATTAGGATTCAGTTACAGTGCTGAAACATAATGGCCTTTAAGCATGGTTCGTATTCACTTTAAAACGTGGTAACACCTGTTAACAAAATAAGAAAATGCATAAAGAAAAACATGCGAAAATGTAGAGAATATGCCACTGATGCAAAGTATTGTCCCTTAAAGTTACAAGTGAAAACCATTTTCGACATCAACAACACATGGGAGGGACGGCAACCCGCGTAAGTCAAAACAGTTCGCGTTTTGAAGTCACTGGCTGCTTTTCCGCTGTTTTGAAGGATACATTCATTAACTCTGATTTTATTATACTTTATTAAATTAGGAAACCCTTGTAAACATATGGAATCCCTTTTTTACAATGATAATGTAGGCTCCAATAACATGCCTCACATTATGTTTGCTTTAATTCTGTTAAATAATAATAATTTCTATAAATATAAAAGTAGGCTATACGTGTTAAAATGCATTATCATCCAATATAAAAAATAGTCCTATCATTTTAAAGATAGTTATAAAATGCAAAAAACGACATTAATATATATTAATGCAATTATTAATCACTTAAAATATTATTTTATTAATTTCATACTTTTGCAATGTTTCAAACTTTAAGACATTCAGATTGATGCAGAAAACTGAAGTGCTGCAGATTCAGGAAAGAATAAACACAATGGAACATGTTCATATACAATTTGTTTATAATATACTGTAAAACAATGCGTACAGAATGTATTTGTGTTACCTTGATTCAGTTTTGCACCTAGGTAAATATTATGATCATACTTGTGTTTTTAATTCTTGTTTTCTTTCTGTTTCAGTTGTTCACTTGGCTGCTACAAGAACCATAAAGGTAAAGGAGCTGGATTTCAGTATGTTAGTGAAGTGCTGTTCAGACAAGCTGTGTTCATTCTCATAGGACGTATTCAAATGCTCATCATTCACTGATCAACCTTCTAACTTTATTTGTCTGCAGACTCTTGCCTTCCTGTCGTTTCTGAAGTTACTGAAGCTAAGGATTCTTTCTACACAGGTATGTCCTTATCATTCCTGTGATTGTCCCTGATCCCCCCTGTGTGTCCATATCCACCCAAAACAGCACAAATCAAATATATCATAAAGAGGTGGGGGTGGGCAATTTAGTAAAACTCTAAATTCTGTTATTACAGTGCTTATCGTCTCATGCAGTGTTAAATTGTTTATCTTATTTCATCCTTATTTATTTGATAAAAACATGTGTAAAAATTCCAGAATTAGGTCAAATGACAAACTACATCCATCGTCCTTATCTGATAATCTGTTATCACCAGGCTGTGCATCCCACTGTCTCAGTCTTTTTTTAAGTTGTCAAATTATGCTTTACTCTCCCAGCACAAATCAAATATAAAATAATAGGTGGTGGTGGGCCATTTAGACAGAGTGCTTATGGTCTCAAGCCATTTTAAATTGTTCAACTTATTTAATCAATAGAATTGGGAACAGTTACTGTATTTAAACAAAGAAAACTTGAGCATTTGACTCTCTTCGTGTTAGTAGTCAAACGTTTTTCTCATTTGTAGATGAAGTCACAGCAAAGAAAGGCTGTGAGATTGAAATACGCATTTAACTTCACAATTGCTTCCCTGTCTTTGCAGAGAGGACTGAGGAGGATCTTCTGCATGAAGAGGACATCATCGACAAAGTGCCTCTAGAGAAGCTCCAGCTGTTAGGTACTAATCCAACAGAACCTCTCGTCTTCTCTGCATTTATCAGCAGTGTCCCATGTCAAACGTTTCTCCATCTAACACTTGCATTTACTCACGGCCACATACATTACATTTCCAAAAAAGCCTTGGGTAAATCATGTTTTCTTATGTCTCTACAGGTCAGTCCAACGAGATGAGAGATCTTCTTTGCAACCCCCACCTGAGACAGCTGCTGCGCTCCATCGACAGCGCAGATGTTAAAGACGAGGCGATGAAGGCGGCCATGCAGGAGCCTCTGTTTGTCGAGTTTTCTGATCAGTGTATGAAGCTAACAGCCAAAGGACGCGATGATTCATAAAATCACCCCTGCTTTAGTTTGTCTCTCAGATCATTTTTCATTATATTTTTGTATAAAGTCTTGGAATAAGCACGTGAATCAACTCTTATTTTCTTTTTTTATGTATAAAGTGTTTAAATAAATGCTAAAATGTTTAAAAACCATTTGAATTCCTGAGTCTACAAAAAAGGTTTCATAATGTAGTTTGTTGTTGAATTGCTGATCACAAGTAAGCACACATTCAGATGAAAGGAAAATGCATAAAGTTTATTTCAATAAGTAATTTAAATATTAATATTTCAAGTTTTACACATTGATCCCTTGGTACCACTGACAAGCAGTATACATTTCTTTGTTTTATTCAAAAACACATTTAAGTAAATCAACAGCTGGAAACAGGTTAAGACATTATTTAGTAATCAAATTAAGATATGAAATATAACAAGAGATGTCCTTTTAGCCAAAAGCTTTAAACATCAATGTCAGTTACATGAATACAATTGTCACGTTATTATAAAATATATTTTGAAAAAGAATATAGCAAAAGTTGATGGCACTTAAGTTTATTCTCCGACACAAAACATTAGAGTACAAAGACTTTGGTATTGTTTTGCAGGACTTTCTGCAGCAAATCCACACAGTGTTTTGGCCAAACATTTGACAGATGTGCGAATAAGAAAGACCCTTGTCGAACAAAAAGCAGCATTTTGAATAAACCTGGGTTTATTCTTTCCCTGTATCACATAAGTGACGTGTCTGCTTGGTCATTAATTGTGTGTCTATAGCTTCATATTAGCAGATGTGTAGTTTGAATGTGCAAGATGTGCTTTACGTGTGCAATACTTTACTTTTTTAAAGCATAATTTACTTTCAAAATAAATGCTGGTTCTAATAACCGGATAATCTGTGCATCCGACCTATGTGTTTATACACCCAAAATAAATCTATAAACAATCACCCTTAAATAAATAAGCACATTTATGATTTGAGTGTAGATTATAAGAAAGGCACTAGACAAAGGCCAAATACTTCGATCAGGAGTCAGATGTTCTGAAGAGGCATCAAGGAGACAAAAACCTGAAGTCTGGTTTTTTTTTGTGCCATGTATTTACAGTTCTCCAGACAAGGACTACGAATAATACAAAAATATTTTGTCTTGTCCTGCAGTGACATTATCATAATCACTACTCTGTTCAATCATGGTTTTCTATTGGTCTGATCTCAAATGTGGCTGTTCAATGTTCTGATTGTACTACAGACCTTATTAAGGCCCGGTTCACAGCACACTACATTATCTTACCTGACCTCCTGGTAGTTCAAAATATTACTATTCCCCGGGGCATGTGTTGCAGGTATTGGCAGCTGTGTATAACACAGAGAGAGATCAACTTTGGCATAATAAAAAAAAAGATGAAGCTGAAAATGGTCCCTTTAAACACATTTTAACACAATGCCAGAATAAAATGCCAGGTTTGTTCCCTCTGTCACATTATGGAAGAGCAGATGCTTCACTGCAAAAGCACCTCTGTGCCAGATTATCCTTAATCTGTGTGCAAGTAATCAGACATTAGTGTTCAGCGACAGGAGGAGCTCTTACAAAGTCTTCTCGAGCAGGATGGCATTGAACCCGCTCATGTCACTCTTCATGTCGGGCTTCCTGTCAGCGTAGAGGAGTGGAGACCGCCGGTAGTGCAGCTTTACAGATCCCTGAGTAGGAAAGAAGAATTCAATCGTAAGAATCCACCAATATATAAAAAACTTGAGATTTGGAAAAATTGGCGTGGGTGTGCCCTCACCTTGGGTTGGGCCCGTATGGAGGCGAGCTCCTGCGAGTACTGGTTGGGCTCCAACTTGTACTCCCCTCTCCTGGAGGGCAGGTTGAGGGAGGCCATCACAGACACCATCTTCTGGAAGCCCGTGGCTGTAAGAGACATGGTGATGGTCGGGGCCGAGGCCAGAGCCAGGCCCAGGGGCCAGCCTCGCACTGAGACGGGCTCCTGGATGAAGGAGAGCTGCACGGAGCCCCGCTCCCTGATGATGGCGTTCAATTGTGGCACGTCCGCCTCCAGTAGGTCCTTTGCATCGTCCAGTTCTGTCTCAGCCAAGGCTTTTAATAGTGCCTGCCACAAAAAACAAAAACAAATATGCATATTGTCCATAAATACACGTTTGTTTACTTATTGGTGACAATTTACATCAATAATCATTGTGAATGTAATCTAATAGGCTTTTTGAGGTTCCTGTTTAGATTTAGTCATGCGCTTCTATAACAGCCGCAGACTTCGGAAGCCTTGAGAGGAAAAAAAGTCAGATCTACATTTTCATGATGTAACAGAATGTTCACACATGTTAGATGTGACGTGTGGTTGCCACCAGTGCCGCTGCTAAGAAGGCTTGTAAGCCAATAATATAACAACATGGGTTTCACATGGTATATGTCATCAGTGATCAAAAGTCTTAGTTGTTGCCTGTTAGTGTGAAAAATACTAATAGGCATTTGTATTTTGGGGGGAGATAAATAAAATACATGGGTGGTGTAGAAATAAAGAAATGCGTGACAAACTGGAAATAAATAATCTGAGGGTTTTTTTTATTTATTAAAACATGATTTCTGAATTATTGGCATGAAGTCGGAAAATGTTCTGACACTAAGCTAAAGGATTCGACAAGGCAGCTGTTACGAAGAACCACTGTGGTCACCCTCTGCGTTAAGGTTGCCAGATTAATCAGGAGCGTTAGCAGGTAACGTTGACAGCCTTAATCCATACAATTTGGAACAAGAAAACACAAGATGTGATATGTATTCTTTTCAAATCTCACCCTCCACATCCTCCAGGTGTTCTGGATGACTGCAGCTGCTCTGTTCCACCTCTGGAGTTGCCTCCTCACCAGCCAGGACCGCACCACTGCAGGAGACATAAAACACACACACATCTGACCAAGCCATTCATTCTGCAGGTTTAATCCGTGCATTGTGGGCACAAGAGAACATCTGTCATGATGAACAGTTAATCAGATGAGATCCTGTTGGCCAGACATTCAGGTCAAAGCCAGCAGACTCATTAGGGTGAGGCCACAGAGATCAACTGATTCCACTCAGGAGCATTCAAATAGTTCACCTGCTTGGATCCGAGTGGCAGACAGCAGGCGGGCGCAGCGTCTGTGGCGCTGGTACCGCAGCCAGCAGCACTGAATGGAGAAGGCACACTGACACAGGACCTTCTTCCTCTGGTACTCCAGAAAATCTAGCTGTGAGACAAAAGCCAGGGCAGGTCAGTACTCCAAATACACCAGAGAAATCCCCAATATATGACCACATTGAAAAAAATGCATGACACTTTTTACCAAATAAGCAAATGACTTCTTCATGTTATACACACTCACTAAATGATGTGTGAGGAAGACATCTAAACACTGACCATCAACTGAGTGAGGAAAACTTTAGTCCTCCCGCAGTGAACCCATGAATTGTGTTTTCCACTGTTATCTTTGCACTGGGGGTCGAACGCCTCGTGCTGTAACACGACGCTGAGGAGATTCTCCACCCCGCGCCGAAGAATGTAGTCAGCCCCCGCATCTAAGACAGAGAGGACTGGAGTCAGAACACAGTGAACAACACAAGACAGACTTAAGGTTAGAGCAGAGCAGCACTACCTGTCTTTGGATTTATTTTCAACACATTGTATTTGTTTGTCAGTGAGTCATCAGAATCAACAGCAGCACTTCTAGGATTACTCTGAATTGAAAAAGGGCCATAGAGTTTTTCTCCCCCCTGCCTGAACTGCTTCAGTTCGACTCTTTGTTTACTTCTGTCACATGGTGACATCACTATATAAAACTCTTGCTTCTATTGGCTAGCACTCCGACACATAGTTTGTGATAGGGTAAGGGTCGGGACATGTCTAAGCCTTTGACCAATTACATAATAGCTAACCAATCAGAGCAGACTGGGCTCCGGTTTCAGACAGAGGGTGAAAAGAGGTGCTGCAGCACAGGCAGTATGAAAAAAATAAAAAGCTTTTTGAACGTTAAAGCATGAAAACATGACACAGCAAAGGCACAAAATACAAATATGAACCTTAAAGGACCATAATAGGGCCACTGTAATGAAAATGTCCAATCTGCTTACATTTGGCAGCATTCAATAAGAATTAGCAGGCTCCTTTACCAACATTGCTACAGCTAAGGCTGCATGCATTTGGTCATAAATCAGACTATTGGATTAATTACAATTTAGGTAGGTAAAACCAGGGGATCACCAGAGTTTTTGTAAATGATCCTGAGGAGAACACGAATTTTGCACCAAATTGTATGGCTATCCAAAAGCGTTTTAAACATTTTACTAAAATTCTCAGGTGTCCACATCATGGTGGTGCAAAAACAAAAAAATTGTATGACCAATGTCAGTCCAATAAATCCTTTGAGGATCATGAAATCAATCCATCCAATTGTTGTTGAAATATTCCAGTTTGGAACAAAGAGCCGGACAGAAAAACATTGTAATCCCTGCAAAAAGCAGCTGATGAAAAGAAGAGTACAAGTCTAAGCAGCCACTGATCAGGAACCCGTACAGAAACAAGACACAACATGCAAAGCGAGCTCTGGCATTCAGAGGTGCATGCATTTACCTGGAGAGTTCAGAAGAAGTTGCTTATTTTGTTAGATAGTTCCCTTGTTATACACCAAATAGGAAAGTCCCCAGGAGAGTAGAGAACTGAGAGTCTCATTTACTAAGAGGTCTAATGAAGGAAAAGGAGAATAAATCAGTAGACCTAAAGAGAGGAAATACATTCACTCTTTGTCCACAGTTAACATGCAGAAATTGAGCTGAAATTGATCCCACAACGAACTGTACTTACCAACAGAATGGATGCCTGACTTGACATGTGAATATTTTGCAATCAGTCCATAACGTTGCATGAAACCTTTGAACGGAATTCTGTAGAACAGAAATCACAAGTCAACAAAAATCCAAGAGAAACGAAGCAATACATTATCAAACATAAATATTTGTCTTCTTACCTGTAGTGCTATTTATGAGTATAGCTTGTTTTAATGAGAGTTGACGAGTGTTGGAAATATCAACAGCAATGTCTTTTTCCAGAAGGAGACCCTAGCAGTTTTATGTGGGGACTATTTTCTTTATACCAAATGACACCCCAGAGAAGAAAAATGTGTCATTGACCAATTTTATTAAATAATGATGGAGAAATCAGAAGGTTGTACATCATTTCGACAGATTAGAAAACTGACTGAAGGCGATCTACTGTAACTTTTATGTACACTTTCCCTGGAAAAATGTTTCTCAATTTCAAAATGTTGGCCATTGTTGTGGCGCTGCTAATTCAGTCGTCTGTCCCAAAGAACTAACTACCTTATCACCGTACAGAAGGAAACCGGCATCTCCTCATGGACAAGGGGAGTACGCTCACACAGGTGCAGTACGGTCGATATCTCCAACACTCAGCAACTCCAATCAAAACACACTAGATTTATAAGTAGCTAAGATACAAAATATGTATTATTGATTAGGGGTAAACTGTGCCTTTTAGATAGTTACAAAATGAACAAAGGTCACCTTATTGGAAAGCCAGCAGCACTTATATGAATAGTCTCCACAATCCCACAGGCCTCCAGCTGCATGATGACCTGAAAGCAGAGAGAGAACATCCATTAGAACAGGTATCTCGTGTGAAAGTGCAAAGCATTGCCTCTGATTGTTGCCTCTGATTGTTGCCATGGTGTACCTCCTCCTTTTTGAAGGTCAGCGGCTTGCAGTCAGGGTTAGGTTTGATGCAGCGAGTGTAGTGAGGAGTTGTGGTGTGGAGGATCCTCATCAGGCTCTCCAGAGAGTTCTACCATGAGACATTAAAGGCATCAGTGCCATGACATCACCCTCCCAGAGGGAGCTCTACAGACAAGCTAAACAACCCTTGTAATAAAAGCTTTAATTGGCTCCCACCTTGAACTTGGAGACCACAGTGACTTTACTGAGCCCCTTGCTGGTAGGAATCTCAGTTTCCTTGTCGGTGAAGATGTGGTGAAGCAGAGAGTTTTCAGACTTCTGCAGCAGTTTGATGAGCTCTGGTGGCACCGGGTCCTAAAACACAGAATCCAGCAGAAGATGAATGGATGGGATCTGTGGTCAACTTTCCAAACCCTATTTAAATGTTTGTTTGTTTTTGTACACACCTTGTTTTTCTCCACCATCCCCTGTATCTGGTAGGCGACTTGGCCAGCGTAATGGGCCACAGTGAAGTGAGGCTGTTTGCTGAACTTGTCCCAGCTGATGTTGGAATTATCGCTGAGCTCCTTCTCCAGACGCACCTTCATTGTCTTTGCGTCTGAGGCACGATTAAGACGACTCTCCTGTAGCAGGTATGAACGAAGTTGTCAACCCCAACCTACTTACTTACTCCTCCACACTACCCACTGCCTCTGTTTTTATCTGTGAAAGCACTTTGTAACTTTGCTTTAGAAAGATTATATAGAGATGATATCTTACTAACTTCAGATACATATATTTAATGAGACAAAAAGAAAGGGATTAACCCAGAAAATGACTGCACTGAAACAAAGGTTTAAAGAGCTAAAGGATGTTACTTGTATTTCATTCTATTAAAAACAAATGACATTGGCTTTAATGTGAAAGAGTAAATCCATAAAAACTAGTAAGATCATTTCCAACCATCCTTCTTTCTAGTTAATGATTTAAATGAAATTCTGTAATGTGTCCAAAACATGCTGACAATAGAAAAAAAAAAAACTTGGTGATTTAAGAAGCAGAAGTAATGACTGTTGTTTTATTCACTCTAAACTGTGTCTTTTTATGTTTTTTAAAGTTAGTTTTTATGTTTTTTAAAGTTAGTTTTTATTTGTATTATTTATTTTGGTTTGTTTTACCATTATAATTGTGTGCTGTCTTTTTAGCTGTTAAGTGTGGGGGTTATGCAAGCTGTTCTGTTGAAAACTCTGATAGTTCAACAGAAAATATGTATTTTTTTTTTTTTTTTAAAACAGCTTACCTCGTTCAGAAGAGAAAACACACTGACAGGACTTCCCTCCAGAAGATCCAGACAGCTCTGGTTGTCTTGATATTTGACAAAGGACCACTCCAACCCCTCAGACACGTATTCCTCCTGGAAGAAGAAGAGATTCATATTATTATTCAAGCACAAAATACACAAAGATGTTTGTGTAAAGGGCAGTGAAACTACGGACCTCCAGAGATCAGGTGCATGAAATGGAAAACTGAAATCCGTACCTGCTGAGCTTTGAGATAATGAGCCACAAAGTGCTGCTGCAGCTTCTCATTGGCGTAGTTGATGCACAGCTGCTCCAGGTTATTGATCTGGAAACACTCAAACCCGTAGACATCTAGAACTCCTGGAGATCACAGAGAGGGGAGGAATTTGTGAGTTTATGAATAGAAACTGGGTATTAACATTTACAAATAAATGTATTTATATTCAATAAAGTACGAGACGATAAGGCTTTTACCTATAAAGTTGTACCATGTGGATTGGTCTGCACATATGCTGTTGTTGATGAATGTAACCAGCCATTCAAATAACCTGTTGGTAAAAAAGAGACAATCTCATACTCTTTCTCCAAAGCATAGAAATCCCTATCAATATAAAGAGTGATTAACAGATGCATCTTCCTCACTGTTTATTGTAAACAACAGGGCATGATGGTTTCACATTTGAGTGTTTGGTGGAAACGAGGAGTGCTCCAGGACAAAAACAAGTTCCTGCATAGTCCTTTGAAACAGAGTGTGTTATCTGATGTCAGAATCATTCTTACTGTGCGTAGATGACCTTGGCCAGGCAGTCTCTCCTCATGCTGCACTCGGCCCGGGAGCAGGGCTTGAGGACGCTCTGCTTCCCCGCCTTCAGCGTCCTCACTCTCAGACTCATGAGAAGCTCCTCAGCGGGGACACACAGCAGATCAGCAGCCCTCTGCAAGAAGTCTGAAAAAGAGCAGGATTGGAAGGCAGACTGGTTACTTCGTATTTTGTATATCGGTTCTGGTTTGTTCAGAGTTATAGTCTACAGAAGCAATGAGAGGCTGGAGAAGAATATAAACTATATTGTTTCCTTTACTAAGTCCGATCTAAAATGTGTTTATGACTTAAGAACAGGTAAACCGGGCTTTCCAGTTCAATCGTTCTCATTTCCACATCTGTAAAACTGTAATAGTTTTGCCAGGAACAATTTTTGCAACAGAGGTGATTGTTGTTGTAAAGAATTTCCCGGCAAAACTTTTCACCTGTTCTTAGGTCCCAAACCAAGAAAATAAAACAACTTTACTTTGAAAATGGACGATCAGATTTCTTTCTCTCACTTGCCTCATTTTGAAGGTTTCCTTCCAAATAAATCCCTTGAGCATCATACTATATTTATGTCAGCCTAACATTTTTAGACAATGGACATTTTAAGCACTTAATAACTGTAAAAGAAAAATAAGATACCTCAAACAAAATCATTTTCAATACCTTTAGATTGCTCATCTAGGTCACAAGGCTGTGATTCATCCATTGAAGAGAAATTCAGATTCCCCAACTGCAGAATCCCTGATAGTATCTGTAATGCATTAAAGAGAAATCAAACTATATTACAAAGAAATAAAGAACATTTAAAAAATGTAACTGAAAAAGATGATGATGTAACACTGTACTTTAACCCCACATTTAGCATGCATAGGCAGTTTATAAACAATGAATACATTGTGTGTATTCAACCACACCACAATATAGTTGTTTGCAGAAATAATAATATAAATATGTGTTCATTTGATGGTTATAATTGTTAACAAAATACCCCACATTCATTTAACATTGAAAATGTCCTTTATCTACTTAGAAATACATTAAAGTGTATTATTAACTAGCCAATAAGTGTTTCCTTTGAGGAGTCCCTTACCCTGAATAACTGCCTCTGCCTCTCTGCTTTGATGCCCAGATGAACCATTGCCTCGACAGTCTCCTGAAAGGAATCCTCTATAAAAAATAACATGAAGAAAAGTTTGTTGTAAGAATCAATAAACATAAAGAATAAAAAGAAAAAAACATAATTAAAACATATGCAAAGACCAACCCTCGACTGTTTTTTCTGAATTTGGCAGCCACACAAAATGTTTGCCACATGGCATCTTCCACTCCTTCCTCTGCTCATCTGTGGCCCCCTTCAGCATCTGGAAAACAATAAGCTCTTTGCATTTCATTCTATGATACATATGATTGTGTTAACATTAAATAATCAAGTGCAGCCCTGTTAACTCACCTGATAGAAGATGTGGAAGTTCCTCTCATTAGCCGGTTGGCAAGCCACCCTGGTCTTCTCCAGTAAGTACGTTTGTACAGACGCCCCCACTAACAGCTGACGCCTTCATATACAAAATAAAAAGTTGGAGATTAAACCAACTGAACCAATGCTATCTCACATGATGAAAAAGAAAGTGCAGCATGGTCAGTTGTGAGCACCTGTCTAACTGGAGCTGGATGTACTTTCCAAAGCGACTGCTGTTGTTGTTCCTCAGAGTACAGGCATTGCCTACAGCAAGGGAAAAGTGTGGTTATTTTCACATTAAAGGTTACATTTCTGACCCCTCACCATTTTATCCCCTCTTTTTTAGTCTAAAAGTGACTAATGGGAACAACAATTTGTGAAATTGGTCCAGAAGTGGGCTGCAATTCCATTGTAAGTCAACTGAAGTGTTTGTTTTTGCTACTGACCCAGATTGTTATTATAAGTATCTGACAACATTACAGAGAAATAGTGGCACCAGGCCGAAGTGCTCAAGCTCAAAACTGGTCCAATTAAAAAAACAGTTGTGGCCCATTACTCACTTGGACACAAAAACATGGGTAAAAAGGGTTCAAGTTAAACAAATATATATTTTCCTTTAATGTGACACCAGAGATCACTCACCAAAAGCCTCCATGATGGGGTTGGAGTCCAGCACCCTCCTCTCTATCCTCTCCACGGTGTCCTGACTGTTCACCACAGAGGAGGCGGCAGCCACAGTGGCGTAATATTTCATCAGGCAACGAGACGTCCATGTCTATAAAGAAACAAATCACAGATCCACTTAGATTGTTTCTACTGATACTTTGATACTGCCATCACTTCGGATGAAGGCTTCTGCTAGTAATTATTTTCCTTCAATGAATCACTAGACTAGTTAAAATGTCCATCGCTTGTTCCAATGGACCACTGTGTCATCTTCAAATTGTTTGTTGACAAACATAGCCTTCATTTAGCTGATTGCTGTTCAAGGACATATATCTACATTTTAGATTTGTAAGGCAAGGCAAGGCAAGGCAAGTTTATTTATATAGCACCTTTCAACACAAGGCAATTCAAAGTGCTTTACAAAAATTAAAGACATTAAGAAAATGGCATTTTAAAAACAGTCATTAAAAAGCAAAGATAAGAAAACATTCTTTTAAGAAACATTAAAAGAAAAAATACAAGGATAAAAGTTACAGTGCAGTTTAAGATGTGAATAATTCAATTAAAAGCAGCGGCAAAAAGAAAAGTCTTCAGCCTGGATTTAAAAGTAGTGAGAGTTGCAGCGGACCTGCAGGTATGGTAGGTATTTTGAAATCAATTATTTGACACACAGGAAGCCAGTGTAAAGACTTCAGAACAGGAGTGATGTGATCCACTTTCTTAGTGTCAGTGAGGACTCGAGCAGCAGCGTTCTGAAAGATTTGTTTCCAATGTCCCAACTAATATTTAAATCAGTAAATGGGAAGAATAATGAAAAATTGTCATTAGATGTTACATATTTGTTCATGCTTTGGAATTATTATTGTTATAAATGTATCCAAAACCTTGAGCAGAAAGGTGTTTTTTTAAACAGGAAACTGTGAGAGAAAAGAGCCAGCAACACTTCTGTTTATTGAAAACAACCAATCACTAGGGGTGCTGTAAAGGTAACACGTCACTCCTGTGGAGCATTGTGTGAATTCAGAGCAGTAACTGGTTTGACAATCATTTACTTTGATAGATTTCAATTAGATCAGATTAACACATCCAAGATGCCTTTACAGTCTTCTACAGGGCAAAAAACAACAAATAAGAAGAATGCATTTTTCTTTGCAGATAGATATACTGTGATTATTTTCAAAGCATGACTAAATCAAAGAATTATTGAAACCAGCTTAGTCTACAATCTTTGAACTGGCCAATGACCAATCTGTGGAACTGTGAGTAAAAGAAACTGAGTTGGTTTACCTTTCCTGCACCGCTCTCTCCGCTGACCACCAAGGACTGGTTCACCGGCTCCAGCTGGTTCTGCACGTTCCTGTAGGCTTCTTCTGCCACTATAAAGATATGTGGTTTGAACTCCTGTTGGCATAAAACATTTCAAAATATTAAAGCAATGTTCATTATGTTATCACGTGGTGAAACTCTACGAAGTTGGTAGACATCAGACACAAGGATGAATTATTGCTTATTGCTGACACGTTTGGGACGATTTAATCCTGAAAGTCCAGGAAACGGCCTTTGGAAAAAAAAAAACTCTTACAACGCACCTATCGCAACCCCACCCTCACTATCCACATGATTGCTTGTACTACCATCTAAACGTATATAAGAAAACAGCACACATTAACAAGAGCTTGATTAGGCTTGAGAGAAGACTTCTGCAGTCATTCAAGATTCAAGATCATCAATTGACCAACAGAATATTTTTTAAATGGTTGGTGGTCCTCCTTACCATAAGGAAGAAATAGCCATCTCATGTTATTTCTGCTAGACCACTTTATGATCTGAGTTATGGCACGTTTCCACTACACGGCCTTGCTCGGTATGGCTAGGCCTCGTTAGGACTGGCTCACTTTATGGCGCATTTCCATTACAGTTTAGGAACTGGGGTAGTATCTATAGTAACGCAGTGTAGGCGGAGCCGTGACGTCATCTTCAATGAGAACCCCAGAAAAACAACACAGCCGTTAGCTGTTAGCACTCAGAGCTCACAGCTCCTCATATATGTTCAGAAACTAGACAAAAGTTAAACAAGTACAAACCACAGACTGCCTGTGTCATGGCGAATACAGTCGCTGCTTTATTTATGTCTGTATAGGCCGTTGTTGTGAGTGTGGACGGTCGGAGCATATACTGCGTTAGCTTAGCCAATCTCCATTTAGAAAACACGCATTTTAAAAGGTTTTTTCGCCTGCCGTCTGTCTGCAGACTTGTCAAAGCATTAATTCATGGTTTTTACTAACCGGTATCAGTATGTTGTTACTTCGGCATCATTTTGAAACGTGTATTACAATTAAATCACGGTCAAATATGTCCATCTTGTTGTAGTTGTAGCCCCCTTGCCAGCGATGCTCTCTCTAGTTTAGCATACTCAGCCCGACTCAGCCTCGTTGTCTCTGGCCCTAGACCCACGATTTTATGAGGCCAGAAAAACTGTGAATTAGGACCCGCCGGCCGGTACTAGGCCAAGTGGAAACGCAACCAAAGACGGGCCGCTGACGTCACAGCCCTCTTAAACCGTGCTCCGCGCTGTAGTGGAAACGCGCCATAAGAGTCTCTGCTCTTTAAAGGCAGGTTACCAAACCATGACATTGAAGAGAAGGACGGAATTCACTCAATAAAAGCACAATAAAACACGATCCTCATGGTTTTGTAGGACAGTTTCCTAAGACAATACAAACGCTGGTGACCCCTTTTGCACACATCTTCACAATTTGCTTCAGAGCTCAATTTTTTGTCAATAATTGTCCTGAGATGTTTGTATGAATGCACAAATTCCACTTTGTGATTGGCGATGGATAAGACGTCATGTATGTGGGGTCTGAAGGGACAGCTGTTAATACCTGTGGCTGAGGAGCGCAGTGATACTCCTTCATCACATCCAGGGTGTACAGGTCTGGGATTGGCTGGAAGGGGTTCAGGGCCACTAAAGTGCAGCCAGCATGGGTGTAGAACACCTTCACCCTGTACCTGGCCTGGAGGCATTTCAGCACTACCAGTGAAAATAGTAAATATCATTAGGCATTAACAGGGAGAAAAGACAAGCAAATATTTTACAAATGATACTATACAGGAAAAAAAGAATACCAGAGAAGAAATCAGCATTAAAATAGCAAACATATGTTAGTCTTTTATTAAATGTCTTTAAAAATATAAAAGAACCAGATCCATATAACAGATGCAGCATAATAAGTCTAAGTGGTTTAAAGGTTCCCTCTCATTGTCTACACTGCAGCAGTTTGGTGGCATAGCAGTCAGTCATTCATGCATTCATTTCTATTTTACTTTTTTATCATCGCTGCAAATGTAATCTTAACCTGGTTAAACAATATGCAGCAAATGCAATCCAAGGTGACATGGGCTGGAAAACATTGGGTCGTACTGGCTACAGTTTGTAAATAAAGAACAAAGTTGAGGCAACATATCCACGACTCACTGACATGCTATGGTAGGGATGTCAAGATGTATGCCTTCAAAATAAATGGAAGTGGTACCTTTATGAACAAACATAACTATAAATCTATAACAGGTAAAAATACATCAAGCAACAAGCCCAATAATACATCATGACAGCGATTTAAGGACACAAGGTCAAAGAGACATTATAGCCTCAGTTGTTACCTGTTGTAGGGGTCACTGGGTTGACTTTGGTGAGGTCGTCATAAGTGTGGAGTTGGTCTTCATCAATGAGGAAGGCTTGAATTTCTCCCTCCAGTGAATCATTTAGGGATGGGTGTGGAGAATGGACTTTCCGGACAAATCCTTTCACCTATGTGAAGGAGGAAAAATGGGACATTGTGTTTAAAATGGGACCGAACAACACGCAAGGGTAGTATTGTCAAAGTTACCAAAAACAATCTTATTTTATGGCTCAAAATGTCAATATTCTGTTAATCTAAAAATCAGTTAAACGCCCCTGAGCTATGAAGTGCTTAAAATATTCCAACTCAACAATTATGTGTTCAAGTTTTTATTTTTGTGTTTGAGAGAGCTCTCAACGTCAACAATCACACAATTGTAATTTAGAATGTAATTCTTACATCACATGCTATATCCATTGGCACCATGGTTGACTTTAGAGGCCTACAACAGCCCATAGTCTTAGTCAGGTAATTGCTAACATGCATTTGTTCAGGACCATTTTGGTCCATGCGTCATGTGTAATTCTCTCAGTCACAATCACTTCAGACTGACAAATGGTAGTCTGCTTTATCCTGCCGAGGTCACATGGCCTAGACCTGCAGCCCAACAGCCAGCTTTGACAGGTGCTTTGTGCAGACACATTTAATCCAATAAAAGTTCACCTACATCCCTTCACCCTATAAGGCCATTTTAAACCATGTGTAATGGTGATGATCTTAATGTTATGATTTATAACATTATTGCAGTAAATTGAGTACACTGCTTTCATAGCTGCTGTTCTCATACCAACTCCAGTCACAATTCTGGCAATATAGTGAATGTTGTTATATTAAAGCTTCTTGCAAGCAGGCTCCTTCTTCAATATTCAGACATTATTTAAATGTAAGCCACCGGCAACTCATGCTGTACTTTCAAAAGTTTCCCACAACAATCAAACAGTCTGTGTTTGTGAGTGTTTTTGTATATGGTAACCTTTTATCAAGCAATGTTGGCAAATTATGACACTGGATTTGGTGCATTGGGAACTATTTTCATCCGGCGCATTAAACGTTACTTTACAGAGTTGTTATTCGGTCTCATATACAGTTTATAGTCTCGCGTTGACGAAAATGTATACTTATCGTTTGAATACGAAACAGCCAATCAAAAGTGAGAACCAGGTACACATTGATAAAGGTAAGCAACTCAAGGTCAATGTACCATGTTAACTTATTGTTAACTTCAACACTTTCAACAAGGGAAAACCTCAAAACAGCAAGTGTAGCAGAAATTGTAGCCGGGTCTTCCCCTGACTTACCGTCCCCCCTCCATTGCTGTGTCCTCCTTCTCTAACGTTGCTTCGTTTGTCCGCAGAAGTCATTTAATTTACGGTACCGTTACCTTCGTGTTCGTCTTAAGAGTCAGCCTAATACCTTGATAGGAACTTCGCCTATATTTTAAACAAGCCAAGGTCTGGTTATTCTACACTACAGTCTCGAGGCTTAATTTTTTCCATTACTGTCAGAAATTCCTAGAGGATAACTTCCCGTGTCTGCTGCCTGTCCGACTGCTTTTTTAACTCCTGAAGCCCACACTTATTCCCGCCCTCCCATGATGCTTCAGGGACCCAGCTGAACATTACACCGGTATTTTTCTATAATTACACTTACTTATATGTTATGTCTGAGACATAGATGCATATTGAATGCCACTTAAGCAGACTTAAAATCAGGAGGTTTTGTTTTTCTATTTCTATTTTTACTTATCCAAAAGTCTAGTCTTCATTTATCGGTTGCCTGATGTAGACACTGAAACAGAGCTATTTGACCTTCGTATTCACGATATAGTTTTAGTAAGATAAGTCAAATAGCCTACTATTTAGAATATTTAGACACACAGGACCTGTTGAGGTTGGATGTTTCCATAAATCCGAGTTATCCTGAATGCGTCACGGGGTTGAATCCGGAAGCATAGTAGCTCTGAATTTACTGCAGCGGCATCCTGGTGGGTTAGGCTCGGGACCTCAAGCTACTGCAAACAGGTATGCTGTGAAACAGGTTTTTGTGAAGCTGAATTTCCGAAGCCTGACAGTAAAATCCGTGGTAAGTACTGATCACTAGACAGAAAACTACCTTGTTTTACGTCGTAGTTGTCTATAGCTATATCAGATAACTGAATGAGAATGTAATAATGAGTCGTAGTGAGTGATACTAATAAAATACCATATGAAAATGTGAAAACTAGTGCAGTTCAAAGTCACATTTGTATGGTTACGCCAACAAACAAAGGCTGCTTGAGCTGAAAATATGAAATCAAGTGTATAATGCAATGAGGGGAGACTTTTTTTAACCTCTGAATCAGAAAGGTCTTACACGGACCCTGTATGCTGTCACAGAGTCCTAAATGTTGTTAAAAGTGTCTTATTACATGCTTTTATATGTATATGTCTCCAAATGTGTTTCTCTGATTTAAGTTAAAATAAATCATTTTATTGTTTTCAGGCCATGTCTCAGAAGGACCTGAAGGAAGCGTTTATCAGTAACCTCAATGGGACCAGTCTGCAGGAGGTGGCCCTGGGCTCTTTTCTGGCCCCACTATGTCTCATTAACAGAGGACTGATTTTGACTATCTACTATCAGGCCAAAAAGACTCTTCCTCTGCCACTTCCATTGATTTCTCACCTGATTCTAGACTTCTGTTTGCTTATCCTTCCCCTCGTCCTGTCGTGCACCGTGCTGAGCAGCGTTCTCCACCAGGTCATCTTGGGCCTTACCGTTGTTTCAGCCTTTGTATTATGGTACATCCACCATGTCAGTATTCAATCTGCTCAGAGAACTGTCAGCACCTTCCTCAAGAGCCACGTTCAATTCAAACAGGTTCCCTTTGTGACCATCTTTCGAGTGTTTGTGAATGTGAAAACAGCCATCAGCATTCTTGCTGTAGACTTCAGTGTCTTTCCAAGGCGATATGCTAAAGCTGAAACCTATGGGACAGGTGTTATGGACTTTGGTGTTGGAGCGTATGTCTTTGCAAATGCCCTTGTGTGTCCAGAGGCACGGGGGAAGAACATCTCAGGATCCAAGATGAATCACATCGCTAAGCAGCTCATGTCTGTGTGGCCCCTGGTTGTGCTTGGCATGGGAAGGCTTCTGAGCCTCAAGATGTCCGGCTACCAGGAGCATGTGACAGAATATGGCGTCCACTGGAACTTTTTCTTCACACTAGCTATTGTCAGAGTTGTGGCTTCTGTGCTTTTGGCCATTTTACCAGCCAATAAATCATGGCTCGTTGCCCTTCTGATCAGCGGATGTTATCAATTCACTCTGGAGACATCTGGCCTAAAGGCTTTCATTATCCACAACAATGACAGAGAAAAGGACTTTCTCCATGCTAACAAGGAGGGCATATTCTCTGTCCTGGGTTACGTAGCCATCTATATGGCAGGGGTTCAGGTTGGACTCTATGTAATGCAACCCAGATCCAATGTTAGACAGTGGCTCCAAACCATTTTTAACCTGTTCTTGGGAAGTGTGGTCCTGTACACTGCTTTGTTCGCATGTCTGACATTCGTTGAGCCAGTGTCTCGCCGCTTAGCTAATCTACCTTTCTTCCTGTGGAGTGTGGCTCAGTCTTTATTTTTTATGTCCTGTCTTGGTACAGCTGATATGGTTTTACTGTTTTCCAAAAGATCATCAGGCTGTCACTTGATGCCCACATCATGGAATTTGTATAAAAAACAATCAGACTCTGATAAAAAGACAGACGAGATAGAAAGACACTGTATTGTTCAAGCCGTCAGCAGGAATCAGCTGTTATTTTTCTTGCTTGCAAATGTCATGACAGGCTTAACCAACTACATAGTGGACACACTCAGTTGCAGTAGCTCATTTTCAGTGTGTGTTTTGCTTTCTTACATGTTCGTTAATTGCTCTGTAATACAGGTTTTACATTTCTTGGGAATAACTTTGAAATTCTGGTAAAATTGCATTCATCAAACATGGTTCATTTGTGTAAAGTCTTTTTTCTGGGGGTTGAATGGCAGACTTGGACATTTAAAAACGCTGAAGACATAGATGTTATGTTACGAGAAGACATTTTCTGTGATATTGAACATACAACTGTACATTATTTGTTTGTTTATGGAAGTAAATGCATGTCTTGATAAAATGTTGTCTCAAAATAAGTGAGGCCTTGGAAAACAAAATATAATAAATCCAAAAGTTTTCGTTGAGTCATTGCTAAATCATGCTTTCTTCTTATTTAGCAAGGGTAATGTCAACATCTGATCTTTTTGTAAAAGGGAAAATGGCATTTAAACTGATGCTGCATCTATAGATCTTTCTATGTATGCACATGTACATATCTATTGTCTTTTCTTAAGAAGAGCCTTAGGCCCTCGGATGCTGGTATTTCAACATTTCCTAAAGTAGCCCAAAAATCAAGTGAGGAAACTGCTTTTAGATTGAAGTTTCTGGAACACCCTGCCCAGCTACATTATAAATGCAAGCTAAAAAAAAAAAGTGTAATCACCTCAATTCCTCTTCCTATTCAGGCTGGCATTTAGGTAACGAAGAATCTATCTTTTTTTGCTACTGTTTCTACTAGTTAATTCACCCTCTTGGATCTTGTGCTTTTTTATTAACTTTTTTTGTATTTTATTTCTATTGTGTTTTTTTATTTTGTTGAGCTGCATTTTAATGAATGAAAGGTACACAAATAAAGTTATAATATTCTTATTTCTTGTTTGTTACTTCCCTGCTTATTATTTGTATCCAAAAATCGGCTAGGGTTCAAATCTAATACAGAAACATAATTATGAATACATATATATATTAATATTAATTAGAAAGTGGAAATAACAAGTAATAAGAAAGTGGAAATACCAAGGGCTTTGTTAAACATTTGAAACATACTTGATTTAATAAACTTTATTTGTAGGCTTACTATTAACACATTTTCTCTCAAATATATAAATAAAGCGCCCCCTGGAGGCCACACCCACACGCCAGCTATGACGTGAAGAGGGCAAAGGTGAAATCAGTCAGGAAGATTTTGCCACCGTAGCAGCTCTCTCACTGTCGCACTTGTTTATTATTTAAGGAGAACTTTCAGTAGCAGGTAAGTGAACCCAATAATTAGTCTAAATCAGGTGTCCCTTTCATCTGTCGAGGTGACATGTTATTTTCAATATTTTAAATGTAAATAGGAGAAGCCCATGAGAGTGACAGTTGCTAAGTAGCCAGTCACCCAGTCAACTTTGTATTAGCCGTATTCAAGCATTAGCCTTGTAGGAAAGCGATGCTAACTAGTGAGTTAGCCAAGTTTGCTGACATCGACAGGGCGTAGACATACGATATCACCACTGCAGTATATGTATTATTGGTTAAGGTGATATAAACTTCAGTTTACATTCATCGTATGAACATATTGTGCGAAGAATATGGCCGGCTTCCTACATTTCTAAAATCGTTCTGGCAAATCAAACTAGCTAGGAGGCTAACTGGCTAGCCGCCTGTTACCGTACGTTTCTGCTTTAGCCTGCCTAGCAAATAGCAAGGTGTAAACATAGTCATAATTCATATATGTCTTGCTCAAACTGCTTCAAACACATAACTAACTGAAGCGTCATAGACCTTCATCCATCCAAGCTGTCGTTTATCAGGTTGTTTTACTAACTAACTAATCTGGGTCAAGACAAACCTTTCTGTACTACAACTGTGTGAGTAACGTTAAATCAGATGTTATCAACGTCAGGAAATAGTGGGTGTTGTGTGCCGTGTTTTATTGCCTGTTTGTCGGAAACATAGCTTTTGGTGACAAGGTGATATTACAGTTAGCTTGCAATGACCTGTAATACATTAGCATTAGCTTGGTATAGCTTGTGCAAATGTGATTTATTGTGTGTCACCTGCAGGCGAGCAGCACCACAGCCCACTGGAAGAAGTCATGGCCCGTCTGGTAGCAGTTTGCAGGGAAGGAGAGGAGGACTACCCATTTCTCGCCAGACAGATTCCTCTGTATATCGATGATTCTCTCACGGTTAGTCAGCTTTCCCATATTGGTGATCACAAAAAAGAATGGAGATTACATGTGTAAAGTGGCTAATCATAATCCTCTTTGGGTCAGGTGTTAGCACTCCATCAGTTCTCTGACTGATTTCCACAAATAAAGGCTAAGTTATTACCAAGCACTGATTAGTATCTAAACATTTAAATCCAGGGAGGGACACACATTTTTGCTAACATTGTTATACTATGCATTAGACAACGATAGATTTTTTTGTTATTACTTGACATTTCTACACCTTAATGTACACCTAAAATGTTCTGCTAACTGCTCTGTACAAAGACACCTGCAAGCCAATCAGTGTCAATATAGTATAAACTATAACAACAAAGACTGCAATCTTGCCATGTGAAACTTATCAGCATGGCTGCAAATAAAACATTTCTACAAATATTGTACTTTAACTGTAATATGTTTTCTCTCTTTGTCAGATGGTGATGGCATTTTCTGATAGTGTCATGGATGTTGACAGCCAAGAAATAAACACGTCTCATTGGAAACAATTTTCTGAGGTAAGCGCTAGTTGTAATCTTCCGTGTACAGAGGCTGACAGAAGCCTCATGTGACTTGTCAACAAAGTGGTAACAAATGTATGATTCCTTCAGGATCACTCCAAGTTGAAGCAACAGGACTTGAATATTGCCTTGATGGTGACTTCCAGAGAGGTGTACAGTGCATTATCTCAGCTGGTGCCATGCGTGGGCTGCAGACGAAGTGTGGAGCACCTTTTCTCACATTTAGTGGAATCTGGGAACCCAGCCCTGGAGCCCCTCACTGTGAAACCCACAGGCATGCTCTCTGTCACCAAAGCATGTTTAGCAGACGTAAAGAAGCTGTACACCCTCTTCTACGTCCACGGGTAAGATACAAACAAGTGTGTTCCTAATATGTGACATCAGTAAGAAATGCTCTCTATGTTTTTTGGAAGATTATGAAAGCATACTGCTACAGTATACAAGCTGAAATAATGCTCTTTAGTACAGTGTTCCTACAGCTTAAGGCAATTAAGATGTATTACTTTTATTAATGGTACTCAAAATTAAATGTATTACCAACTTTACAATTAGCAAAATGTAAGAAAAAACCCAAAACATCAACCATTTAGGGTTAGGTACAACTTTGCCTCTTTTTTTGGTCCAATAAAAAGATGGTCTAAGCATTTTTGTATTACTTTTATTGTCAATACATTATATACATATAAATGTAAGGCCTTATAATCAGATACATGAATTCAATGCACATACTGAGTAAAAATAGGTTCTGACACTGTGTCCCTTTCTTCTTGGATAGTGTCATATGTGAACAACTTGCACTGTTTTCTTTTTTTCAGGTCAAAGTTGAATGACATGATTGATGCCATTCCAAAAAGTAAAAAGAACAAACGCTGCCAGTTGCACTCCTTAGAAACACACAAACCTAAACCTTTGGGGTGAGTAAAATGACTTTTTCCTGTTGTATCAGTGGTTTCTTTCTCTAAAGAGACCTTAAGGCTGTTTGTGTTATGAGGCTGCATTTTAAGTCATCTTTTATCCAACCGTAGTGAAGGGATCAAAGAGAGAGTTGTACGTTTTAAGAGTTACACTGAAAGAAGGCAGTCTTCTTTCCTTTTGGACAGTTTGTGTCCCCTGTCCAGTAGAAAGAAAACGGAAGGTCTATATTTTGGGTCAGTCATCATCGTGTGCCATTTGATGTTTTTAATTTTTTACAGTTTGAATGTTGTTGAGCACTTTGTCAAACATGACATTTAAGCCAAGCATGAGCCAGATATACAACTAGAGCTAAATAAAGAGAATATTAGACCTGTTTTTATATGCCAGGTTGTCAGAAACGCAACCACTGAGGCACGCTAATGGACGCTAATGTCGCTCAATATCTGCTGGATGTGCGAATTCTGTAAGGTATTGTTTGTTAAGAATTTCCTAAAAGGGTTGCAAGTGTTGTGTATTACATTACATGTCATTTAGCTTTTTTTTTTTAATCCAAACTGACTTGCATATAATTCAATACCTTAGACCAGAGATGGAGTCCTGGACTCGGACTCGGACTCGGACTCGCGTCATGTCGTCATTTTGCATGCTAAGTAGCCATGTGCTTTCTGGGGCTTAATCTTTATTGATATCATTTAAACATTCACTATAATAATTGTATCGTCCCCCTGAATGATGGTCAGACTCTCCAACTGATGGTATCTGTTTATTGCACACCCTTACTTTTATACAATCATTACCAACGTAAGAACTTATGCCCTTATCAGCCAGGTGCTAAAAACCGAATGCAACTATTTAGTATAGGTCAATTTATTTGTCATCTATCCTCATTATACATGTGTGTTTACACTGCTCCGTTGTCCATTGACTTCCGGTATGAGTTCCTTCAAAATAAGAGTCCCGATCTTATTAGTATCAAAATAAAAGTGCAAAACGAAAACTTTACCATAAGAAAATATTAGCACACAAATATAATCACTTCTCTAAAACTCATTTTAAATATAGTTAGACATATTAAAGGTCATATACAAATAATATTAATATGAATATTAGTAATAAGCTTTATATTTGTATAGCACCTTTTATACAAGAATTGTAGCCAAACTGGCTTCACAGCAGTTCAATAGACAAATTAGTATAAAATGACAGGATAAAAGCAATGTAGAGGAGCTAGAGCTACATTTCAACAAATATATCCACTAAGATTAATACATGAAGACTTGTGACTCGGACTCGACTCGGACACTCCTTGGGTGACTTGGACTCGGACTTGGACTCGGACTCGACTCCGACTCTCCCTAGGTGACTCAGACTTGGACTCGAAAAGTGGGGACTCGTGAATTGGTGACTTGACTACAACACTGCCTTAGACTACATAGCTACAGAAGCAATTTATGGTTGAGTGTCTTGCCAAAGGACACTTTGACATGTTGACGGCAGGGGGCTGGGGATTTAACCACTTACCTTCCCCTTGGTACATGCCCATTTTCCCCCTAAGCCAGAGCCATTTTTTGTAAACAGTTTTTTTTTTTTTTGTATCCATATGTTGGCAAAACAATCAATAGTTACATGTTTGAGTGATGATGACTGTTCAATGTGATGGCACAGCTATAATATTTGTATGTCTGCTTACAGGGGAAGCTGGATGGATGTGTGGGAGCTGATGTCTCAGGAGTGCAGGGATGAGGTGGTCCTCATTGATAGCGCTTGCCTCTTAGAGACACTGGAGACATACTTGCGTAAACACAGGTAAATTGTTATTATCATAGCCTTTATTTCAAACATGTTCTTTCCCTCTTAATTGCTGTGTCAGTGGTACAAAAAGGTTTCAATTAACCGTGTGGATCATTCTTGTCCACAGGTTCTGCACTGACTGTAAGAACAAAGTGCTGAGGGCCTACAACATCCTGGTCGGGGAGTTGGACTGCACTAAAGAGAAGGGGTATTGCGCCGCCTTGTACGAGGGACTATGCTGTTGCCCCCACGAACGCCACATCCACGTGTGCTGCGAGACCGACTTCATCGCTCACCTCCTCGGCCGGGCTGAGCCTGAGTTCTCGGGAAGCTACGAGTAAGTAACGGTTTACACCATGAATACTACAGAGCTCTCTTTCAACCAATGATTGCTTCAGTTTAAATGGAGTATATTGTCCTGGAAAGACAAGGTAAACTTAACTAATGTGCATTTAAAAAAGAGGAATTGTTTCGGCGAAAACTAAAAGGTACCATGGGGTCAGATTATAATTTTCCAAAGGGGGGTTCGTTTAGCATGAAACACTTGAAATAACTAAAGGATAAGTTAAAAAAGAAAGGTCATAGAAAACTATTTCTGCTAAAAAGTTAGCAATGATTGAGAGTCAGACCTAAACATTTCAGATGTGTGTATCTCACACGGCACTGTAACTTTTATTCATGTACCTTTGTGTTATTGTGTTTTATTATCTTTGCTTTTAAATTAGTGTTTTTAAATGCCATTTTATATCTTTGCTTTTAAATTAGTGTTTTTTATAATATGCTCTTAATGTCTTTCATTTTTGTAAAGTACTTTGAATTGCCTTGTGTTGAAAGGTGCTATATAAATAAACTTGCATGCCTTGCCTATATCATGCCATGTTTCTTTTCATTTGATGATAATGTTTTTGATGTTTTTGAAGACGCAGAGAAAGACATGCCAAGACTATTGACATTGCACAAGAAGAAGTCCTGACCTGTCTGGGTATTCACCTGTATGAGCGGCTGCACAGGATCTGGCAGAAACTAAGAGCAGAGGAGCAGACCTGGCAGATATTGTTCCATTTGGGGATTGATGCACTACGTAAACATTTTGAGGTACAAAAGTTGGAATAATGGTGTATTTCAGACAGAGAATAAACGCATAATGGCCATTTGATAATCTATATATTACCATGCCACCAGATGGCTGTGGAGAAGATGCAGGGGATCAGTCGGCTGGAGCAGTTTGTGGAGGAGCTGTCAGAGGAGGAGAGGGCCAAAGAGCTGAAGCAGGAGAAGAAGAGGCTAAAGCGGAAAAATCGTCGCAAAAACAAGTGTGGCTTTGAGATCTCTGAGCAGGAGGGAGAGGACAAGGAGAAAACTCTGGATGAGGTAAGGGTTAATTCTCATGAAATCTGCGTTCACCTGCAGATAAACATTAATTTGCATGTATTTATTTATGTCTGTCCCACTTGGTGTGTTCCAGGGTTCACTCGAGGCCGTTGAGGATGCTTGCAAAGTCTGTGGTAGCCACAATGAGGAGGAGGAGACCGGATGTGATCAGAGTGTGGCTGCCAATGGAAGCACTTCCTGTATCTGCCCAGACAACACAAAACAGGGTAATGCTGCATTCACACCGGACGCGATGCGATGTTTGGGACGGCGCGATTACATGTAAAGTCAATGCAGAGACGCGCACAGACGCGAATACGCTCCGACGGCGAGCATGAAGCGGTGGACGCGGCGCGATTGAACGGTGCCTCGTTAAACGCGAGAGTTCAATTTTTTCAACTCGAGCGTCAAATTCACGTGGCGCGTTCTCGCGGAAGCCAATCAGCGGTGAGGATCTCAGCCTGCCGTCACTGACTTTCAACCACACAACATCAGCCGTTAGCTGTTAGCATTTAGCACACAGAGCTCACAGCTCCTCATATCTGTTCAGAAACTGGACAAAAGTTAAACAAGTACAAACCACAGACTGTCTGTGTCATGGTGAATACAGTCGCTGGTTTATTTATGTCTGTAGGCCGTTGTTATGAGTGTGGAATGAGCATATACAACGTTAGCTTAGCCTGGTCGACCCGATCTTCATTCAGAAAACAAGCATTTTAAAAGGTGTTTTGCCTGCCGTCTTGTCTGCAGACTTGTCAAGCATTAATTCATGGTTTTTACTAACCGGTATCAGTATGTTGTTACTTCGGCATCATTTAGAAACGTGTATTACAATTTAATCACGGTAAAATATGTTCATTTTGTTGTAGTTGTAGCTCCCGAGCCAGCGCGTCTTGTTTGAATGATGCGAGTAAACACCGCTGGCAGCCGCGGTGAAACTCGAGCGTTTAGAGCGATGCAATAGGAGCAATTAGAGCGAAGCGAATATTCGCATCGCGTCCGGTGTGAACGCAGCATAACATTGCACGGAGGAGGACAAGGCTGTCATTGGAACTAACGAGTAATTTGTTGGAATTAATTCAAAATCAAATGCCTCCGCTACAAACAGCCCTATTTTAGTTTTTGATTTAGCCATTTGCAGCGTAGAGCACATGATATTTTTCACATTTAGGAAAGAAAGTGACAGCCACGACACGAACATCCCTAAAAGCCATTAACTCTGTATTTAAATATGTATCCATGTGTTTTTTTCAGATGTGGCTCCCCACAGCAATGGTAGTGACTGCGGCTACTCCTCCAGTATGGAGGGCAGTGAGACAGGATCGCGAGTGGGTTCTGATATTGCCTGCTCTGAGGGAATATGCAACCATGACGAAACAGGTCTGGTTTGAGCTGCTTTTAAGATGCTGAGGCCTCTGAACAGAGTCTTAACGTATAGTAGAGTGTCTCAGGTCTTTTTCTCACAGTGTGTCTTTGTTTACCTTCTGCAGGAGATGACTCAAATGCTCACCACTGTGCTAAAGAAAAGGAGGAGGATGGAATAGACAGCTGTGTGGACTGCTGGCCACACTCTGTGGAAAACCCTCAATGCAAGAGTAAAAAGAAGAAAAGGAAGGGCAAGGGTTTATGCAATGACCAGGTAAGAGAACACACTGTAGAAGACACATTCTGTATGCTGAACATTTACCGTTGTGAATTAACACAAGTATGCTCATTTCCACAGGGACAAAAAGATGACGGTTCTTTGTCAGAAGAGATCACAGGCCACAGTCAACCAACATCACACACTTGCCGTACCAAAGAAATCTTTTCCTCCTTATGTGGCGGCCCATTTGCCAGCCTTGCACTACAGTTACCGTGGGCAATACATCACAATAACCTCAGGCACGATGCAAGGCATCCAGAGGCAAACACAAGTCTCGTGGAACTTCTGGTCAGTATTTTTTATTTTTATTTAATACTAAAATAAATATCCTCCTTACAGGAGACAATGTGTATTTTTATGAATGATAGAAACAATGTTTTTCATTATCGATTAATGATTTGTTTTGTTTATAAAATGTCAGAAAATAGTGTAAAATGTACATCCAAGTTTCTATAAGTCCAAGTTGATGTCTTGAAATGTCATGTTTGTCAGTAAAAGCAAGAAACCTCTATATTTAATCAGAAAAGAGCATATCTGACATTTTAGTATGACAAATTACAATAACATTTCAGAATATTATACAGTGATAAGGCCGTGTTGCTGCTGCTCCTGTATGAAAACTGCTGCATGAAAGCTCTAGTTTATTCTTTAAAATAATTGCTTTTGTTCCCTCATTTTTTTCTTAATAAGAATTGATTAAAGGTCCCATGTCATGGCCATTTCTACTGATCATAATTCCATTGTTGAGGTCTACTAGAATAGATTTACATTGTTCAATGTTCCAAAATCACATTGGTTTCTCATACTGCATCTCTGTATAGTATGTGTATTCACTCTCTGTCCTACACGCCTTGTTGGAGCTCCTGCCCCCCCCCCCCTCCCTATGTGCTCTGATTGGTCAGCTCGCCCACTCTGTTCTGATGAGTCAACCACTGTTACAGCGGGACATCAGCGTTTATATGTTACAATGGCGTTTGTTAGCAACCAGAAAATGACACCAGTAATGACAAACAGATGAGAATGCTGCGTGGGGTCTGGGTGCCGTGTTGGCGGGACGTTGCGCGGCTCGCTGCTCCGCCCTTTGAGGCTCGAGGAGCGGACAGTGTGAGCTGGATTACTGGTGTCGTTTCCTGGTTGTTGCGTGGGGTCTGCGAGACACCGCGGAACTCAGCCTGAGCTGAAATGGTGGTTTTACACACACACTCACAGCCAGGACCAATTGGTCCATTTGGTCGGCGTTACGTCACCATGACCAGGAAGAAGAAAATGGAAAAAGAGAAATCTCCAACGAGGCGTTCTGGGGTAGCATAGACGACAGGTCTTTTCTGTGTTAGAGTTTTACTCCCTACAGGGTGTACTTTGAGGGTTTGTGACTTTGCAGACCGTTTACATGCATAAAAAGCTACATAACACACAAGGGGACGGGAAAGCATGACATGGGACCTTTAGTATGGCTCAATGTAACCTCCTGATTTTCGGTTTCGTTGCTATTACAGGATCATTCAGAAGTGGCTTCAGATGAAGAGAGTTGTCTGACACAGGATGAAATCAAGGCATTTTTTGAAAGAAACAAGTCCTTCTACAACAACCGCGACCGTTACCGACAGCTCCTGAAAGAGAAGTTCACCAACTACTGCCGCGCCACTGAGAGGAGCAAGCCAGTCTGTGGGAAGTGGTTCACCACCACCAGTGTCAACTAACTGCACTAATGGCATCTTTGCTGGGAAAAACACTTGTGACCACTGCTGCAACATCTTTCAAAAAATAGATACAATTCGGAAGTAAATTTGATGTCTTGTTCGGTCATTTCTTCTTTAAAGTGAATTTGATTCTTACTTTCTGTTGATCATCTCTCTATTTTGCACTTATACACTTTTCCATCTCATTGTGTCACTGGTAATTGTTTTCTATGACCAAGCCTAGCTGTTTGTTGTTGGTCTTGTGTAGGGTTGTTGGGTAGGTGCACAGTGGAATCACTAATCAGGCTGTTCAAGCTGTGACATTAGGGATACATTTTAGGAGTCTTATTTCATGTTTTTCTTTTCTTTTTCCTATTTTGTTTCTCTCTGGTGACACTTCAGTGTAGTGGTAAAGGTTGTACCATTAAATGTGTACAGACATTCTGAATATAAATGATTTTACAGAGAATAAACATCCATTTGTATTAAAGATGTGGGTGTGATAAGAGCGCAATGTGAAAGATTTACTAAATAAAGAATATTTATTAATATGCATTATACATTTGTTCGTTGTATTTTTTTCTTACAAACACATGTACATTATGACCTTAAGAAATAGTAAAATACAAGGGTTCAGATGTGAGCTTTTCTGGAATTTACTGTGAGCTTAGTGTGTAACATAATTTAATATACTCATAGAATTTTGATATGGTCTGGGACCAGTTCTAATTCTTGCAGGAAAACTGGATACTTGGAAACTTCAGTAAGTGATGAAGAAATTGTCTGTAGCATTTTTGCTATTCCTAAATAATCAAATACTCAGAATATAAACGTTACTCTCACTGATTGAAAATATGTGAGGCTTCAGATCATGTGTATATCTTTATCCATTGTGTAAATATAAGTAAATACTTCCATATGAATATATATTGATAACATTACTATTTTGATGATGCTATTAATACAACCACTGGTGTACTGTACTTAAGTACAATTCCGAGGTACTTTACTTGAGTATTTCCATTGTATGATACGTTGTACTTTAGTTACTTTGCTGATATGGAATAATTATAACATGATACTGAAAAATTACACCTCGATTACATTCACATGCTACCCAGCTGTAAATTAAGTAATTCAAATTAGTTCCACCTTTACCAGCTGTGATAATCATTTTGAAACATCAATAATTATAATCATTTATAATAAATATGATTCTGAAATGGGTCAATCTGCATAATGAGTACTTTTACTTTTGGTCATTTAAGTGTATTTTGATGCCAGTACTTTTGTACTTTACTTGAGTATACAGATGTAGCACTTCATGTCAGACGCCTACCCGTGCGGGTCCGTGATATGTGCGGGGTGGGCCCCTGCTGAAAAGGAAAACCCCCCGCAGGACTTGATACGCCCCCTTGATAAATACATTTAATTATAATGAAACCAGCTGCAATGGATCATGGATCCACCAGGGGGTGCAGTGATTAAAAAGCTGCCACAGTGGAACTCATGTGAAATAAAAAAAAACAGCTGATAGATCTACAGTAGAGGTATCTGATATAGCGGATATTTGTTAAGATCCATATGTCACGGATAGGATCATATTCTGTGCTAAATAAGAGACATGTAATTATTTACAAAACATCACCATGTTTTTATTTAACAAAATAATGTTGTTTAATCCAGGTAAATCGTGTCCTGCACTGCATGTATTTAATACCGTTAGTTACTTTACAGATGTGGATGAATGTTGTGAATTATAATCAAGTGTTAAATCAGACTTTAGTTCCACCTGGAGTAAATTCACAAGCTACCCTGCAGTATACAAAGTTATTCAAACTAGCTGCACCTTTACCAGCTTTGAGAACACTTTCATGATCAATCATTATAAAAGATTGTGTAGTGATCACTGATTCATACACTGGGGTTACATAATTCAATCCGGGAACTACAGGTTGGGGGTATTGTTTCCGCCCGGACATATATGTTGACGGTACCTCCGGGGTACCTACTGTGTGTCCTCCTCTTTCACTTTCTCTTCTGTTCTCGTGCTGCGACACGACAGCATGTACATTTCTGCTGCTCAGTAAAGTACAGATTTGCACCTTCGATGCACCGCTTCCGACTCCCTTCTCTCGGCACTACAATATCATATATATTATTCTGAAATGGGACAATCTGCACAATGATTAGTACTTTTGGTACTTTTACCATGTTTATTTTTGAAGCCAATATGTTTGAGTAACATTTGGATTACAGGACTTTAGCTTGTAACAGAGTATTTCTACACTTCTCCCACCTCTGCTTGTGAACAATTATGAAACTTGACCAGATGGCATTTAAACACAATTATGAATTTCTAAAAAGTGTTTAATTAATCAAAGTCAAAGTCAAAGTCAAAGTCAGCTTTATTGTCAACATTTCTACATGTGTTATACATACAGAAATCTCGAGATACCGTTTCCCACAGTCCCACAGTGTGACATATATACATAAAACAAGATACCTAGGGCCTAGATAAACGGGGTATACAACTAAGTAATAGTATTAATAAGTGCTGGTTTAATAATATATTTAAAAACACATTATTATTTCTAAATAGCGTTATGAACATTTAGTGATTACTAATAACAATGCTTAAGGCACATTCTATTATGTGCATTATAAGTAGATCTATAATGCTTATTAGAAATGGGTGTCATAGAAAGTGTTACCCAACATTACTCTTGTTGTAATTTAGCATGTTCACAAGTAAACAATCTAGAAGCTACATTTCACAAAGGTGCAAATACGGATTCTATGTCTGGTCCTCTTCCAACACAAGCACAAAAACATACACTTGCTACAATGACAACAACAACATGACAACATGTATTTACCTATTCAAACTGTGACCAATTATTTTTTTTCAAGCAAAAGAAGTTCCTTCTCTCTAAACAGTCCATGAGGGGATGCAGCACCCCCGTCTTGGACATTGTCCCACAGCGCCTCTTGGGTTCAGGGCAGGCGTTCAGTTGTTTCTGCAGAGGCATCCCGTTCACCCACAGCCACCTCCCTGCCAGGAAACGGAGCCCGATCCAAACCTCTGCTGTCTCAGAATCTTGGACCTTTTTTCTGGCAAGCAAGTTGTCGCCACCGAAGTCCATGTGAGCGAGATCATAGACATGATTTAAGTATGTGTCACTTACACTGGGGTCTATGTCAAGATTCCTGCAGTGTTCCAGAGCATCCTCCCATGTCTTGTTCTCTTTCACCAAGATTAGATCATCTTGACACACAAATGGATGTTGTTTATCGCATTCGTCATCATGCCACTCCAACACAGTTTTCAATGAAACACAATCCTCGTTTTCATCTCTGTCATTAGGTTGATTGGTTTCCCATTTTGTTAAGGTGCTTTCATCTCCATCAGACCAATTCCACTCATCGTGATTAGTTGTGTCTCTTTGGAGACCAATCCAGTACCAAGAAGGAAACGACTGTGACTGGATTGCATCAATGTCCTTCTCATCTCTGATAGTTGCCAGGTCAGTATGGTGCTCCCTGCAGTACTTTTGGGCTGAAGACCAGTTCATTAATTGCGGCACGTGAATAAACATTCTTTGATGTTGTGAGGTTTGCTCGATCAGGACCAGGTGGAAGATCAAGTTGAGGATGAGGATGGTGGAGCAGCCCTTCGTCAACATGATTCCAGAGGTGTCTTGTCTTTGCTTGTTGGCAGCTTTGACTTTCAGCTCATAGATATTCACACTGTATTCTCCCCCTGGTAAAACAAACGTTTTAAATCAAATCCAAGGGGATGTGACACGCAAATTGAATTACTACCGCCTGTCTACCAATGACAGGAGCCCGAAACTTAGACTGTCCTACCTCCACGACCCTGACATCAAAGTGACCAATCATGTCACCCTGACTCATATGGGATGGTACACACACAACACGGGCTCACCCAGTAAATACATTATTAAATGAAACCGTGGGATTAATGTTCTATTACGTACTCATTTTGTAGGCAGCATAGCTCTTGTGATATCACCATTTTTAATAATATTTTAGCTGCTGCATTACCATGTTTGAGACAATGTATTAATAATGCAGTTAGCGATGATGAGAAAAACCAATTCATTCATGTTTTTAATATGTACGCATGTACATTAATAAACTTTTCTTTAGTCAGAGACCACTTTTATAAATATCTGTCACAGTTTATCATCTATGGACAGATCTTTCAAAGTCTAAAACACTGTCAAGGAGGAACGAACATATACAGAATTGAAGTCAAGGAGACCCTGTACCTGGAGAGACGGACGTGCAATAGATTTTCAGATATATATTTTGTTGTAATATCCAAAGTACTTATTAAACCGTTAAAACTACAAGTTACTTCTAAAATATAGAAGTGTAAGTGGCACTGTTTTAAGGAAATGCACTGACACATGTTCTACAATGCTCACAGCTTAGTTTTGTATAATTTGTTTATGTAGATCCGACAACCAGGCAAATATTCTCTTCCTCTCAGTCTAGTTCAAACCAGTCTGTAACAAAAGCTCACTTTTGCTTGTATTTCAAAGCTGCATGAGCAACATTGAAACTGCAATTTTGGGTTACAAACAATTATTTAATTTTTTAGATAAATCCTTTTATTTTCCATATTACTTCCTTTAAAAATGTTTTGTATATTGATATGCCTTGTTAACAATTAAAACTCTTTTCAATAAAAGTGGTTTCATACTGTTCATTTTCAACAAAAAACCTTTACTGAAAAAGAAGATAAAGGGTTGAATACAATGAGCACAATCCTGCCACTATAACTGTAGTTACTCAAATGTGCAGGCTGTTTTTCAGACGATTAGTGGATACAATATATTATAAACAAATGTATCATGTTATAATATGCAGGACTGTATAATAATAGTTATAAGCACTCGTGAATCATAATGCTTTATAACAATTATCATAACACATTAATACACACTTTAGTATTGTATGCCCTACATGCTGTAATTTAGCATGTGCACAACAATCTAGAAGTTACGTTTTACAAAGTGGTACAAATATAGAGGCACAATCACTTACACATCAAATAGCTAAGGTATTGACAAGTAAGACATGCATCGCCATATGCAAACTCTGACCTACATGTTCTTTAATGACTTTTTTGAGCAAAAGAAGTTCCTTCTTTTCAAACAGTCCCTGAGGGGATGCAGCTCCCCCGTCTTAGACATTATCCCACAGCGCCTCTTGGGTCCAGGGCAATTCAAAGTGCTTTACAAAAATGAAAGACATTAAGAAAAAGGCATTTAAAACAGTCATTAAAAAGCAACACAATCTACCTGCATTGCTATTACTCTAAACGTGTAATAACGTGCTTTAACCACTAGGTGGTGCGGGTTAAATAACTGTCAAGTTTACAGTGTTAACACAATACATTATACCGCTGTTTTAGGTTCAGTTTATGATGGATGTATTTTTTTATCCACACATTCCTTTACCTTTTAATGTATATTAAAAGTATTTCGTTAGGCCTACTAAAAATATTGAAATACAAAATGTGGGTT